GTTATGTCGATTGAGAGTACCTTGTAAGGAACTCAAGACTGTGACTGAGTGACTGACTGTGCACTAACAAGTGTGGCTTCCAAGATCCGGAACCAGAAGGCTGCAGACTTGTGACCCTTGAGATCCTTGGAGTTTGGTGGCTAAGTTGGCTACCCAAATACCGAGATGCCTAATCTTCCTTTGATACTAAAGACAGTGCTCACTGTGAAATACCGAGAGCTCTAAAGACTCAAATCTGTAGTTTCGAGCTGACCAGGGCTTGAGAGAACAAGATCCGAGGCCAGTAATACTGTAATTTACAATATTTGCCTGGACTCTTAGATTAAGGACCCCCCAGGCCATCTGGATTGTTAGAGTTTCAATTTCTTGTCAATCTTAGTAGCCAAACTCGCCTTAGGAAGCCTTTCTGGTCTAGCGACCGCAGTGATTACGAAGAACGGATAAGGGTAACTCTGAGTCTGAGTCTGAGTCTGACCCCTGGGTGACAAACCGAACCCTATGCCAAAAACATTGAAGACATTTCAGTGCTCCTTCCTCCACTTCTGATCACACGCTTGTCTTGTAGACAGTTGGCACATCGACTGTCGGCTTGACAAGGATCAACCGTCTTGAGATGAAGGACTGGCTGCTGACACCATGATTTTTCTCATGTCCGTGGGGACAGAGAACAACTCCATCAATTTGATGAACCAAATGAAGAGGGGTTGGTCGGCTTACTGGTAATCTGATACTATTGGTATTTTAGAGCGTCGGACCATCTTTAGCGGCGTGCCAATGTCGATTCTCAAGCCACTATGAATGGAATCCTGGGACAAGGGTCTGCTAGTGCTAGCGGCAAAAGAGGACTGTAAATTAAATGAGGGGCGAGCATTGTCAGTAGCAGACTCAATCGCCCAAATCACAATCTCTATTTGAGGGAAATCTTTTAAGGACAGATATATGGAGTAAGTAATGTTTCGTAGAGGTCGTAGCAGGCGCCCAAGGACTGAGGAGCGTCTTCTGCTCTGTGCCTGACCCGAGTGCAACTTCCGGTGACCTAATTGATGGGAAAGAATTCCGTGGTCAGAAGGAACTATCATTGTACCGGGCCGCCAGGCCGGAAATTGAGGCACACAGTTGAGGCTGATGGCAGAATACGGACTTTGAAGGCACGAGGGTACGGATTCAAAGGATGGAGGAGCACAATCCAATCAGTTACTTATTTTTTGAACGAATGACGAAGCCCTATAGCCTCTCAAACAGTGCTCACCCTTCAGCAATCTCAAAGCGTCGGTATGTCAATTGGAGCCGACCAAAGGCAGTGTGTGCCGTGCAAAGAGAGCTAGACGGAGGGGTTGCCGTTCCCAAAAGGGAATAAATTGCGGGGACGAGTTCTTAGCGAGTCTGACTGGTTCTGACATGCGGGCCGTACCAAGTCCCCTTGTGTCTAGACTCCAGAACGTCGTCCAGCGCGGAAGACAGTTGAGACGGCAGCATGGAGGGTTTTGTCGTTTATCGCATACGATGAACGCAGACCCGATGCGGCCCAAGGCCCACTGCTGCTTCATAACACTGGAAGAAGGACGCTGAACTTGTCCTTAAGAACAATGAAGAGAAATGGGGCGAGAATCAAGTCTGGGGACAATGGACGAGACTTAGGCTAACCCAATTTAGAATGGGGAAGCCTCCGGTAGGATATTACCCAATTTGGCCGGCCTGCCACGTGAGGGGCGGAGAGATCTCCGTGTATCTCCTCATACTGCGAGCTCATGGAGACGTTGAGATGTTACTGTAGAGATGGAGCGGTGGCTCTAAATTCGCGGCTTCTCCCGCTGATGGGGGAATGAGGAATCAGAAGATTTCATTCATTCCTTCTCAGTCGAGGCCGGATTCTCCTGAACAACATCAAGCATCCGTTCCGGTTCCGTGAGAGAGCTCTAGTTACCTCTCCAGAACTGTCAAAATGTCGAAATTACAACAATTCCCTTTATCTAAGGGATGGAGCTTCAGAGACAGTGAAGACTCATCGGAAGAGGCGTGGATGCCGGTCCCTGTTGTGCCTTCCGTCGTCCATCAGGACCTTCAAGCAAATAACAAGTATGGCAACCTTTCAGTCGGCAATAATTGATCGAGCTGACAATTGCTTTTCCTGGGTTACAGGCTGAAGGATCCTTATATCGGATTCAACGAGCTCGAGGCAAGATGGGTCAACGAGAAATCATGGACCTACAAAACTGTTTTCCAGAAACCAGCTGCTCCTGCTGGGTCTTGCATTGTTTTAGCATTCGACGGCCTGGACACATTTGCTAAGGTCAAACTTGACGGCAACGTCATCCTCGAGAACGACAACATGTTCCTTGCTCGTCGCGTCGACGTCACCAAGGCGCTGGAAGCCGAGGGTGACCACGTTCTAGAAATCGACTTCGACTGTGCTTTTTTGCGTGCAAAGGAGCTTCGCAAGCAGGATCCCAAGCACAATTGGGCCTCCTTCAATGGCGACCCTTCCAGACTGAGTGTAAGAAAAGCTCAATACCATTGGGGTTGGGACTGGGGCCCGGTTCTCATGACTGCTGGTGTCTGGAGAGAAGTGAGACTTGAGGTTTATTCGGCAAGAGTGGCAGATCTTTGGACCGAGGTGCAACTGGCTTCAGACCATCAGAGCGCTCAGGTTACTGCTTTTGCCGAAGTAGAGTCTGCGGACTCTGCTTCACACAAGGCTTATTTCACTCTCAGCTTGAATGGCCAAGAAATCGCCAGGGAGGAGGTTGATGTTGCGGAGCATGGCACCGCCAAGGTTACCTTTGATGTCAAGGAGCCCTCACTCTGGTGGCCCCATGGCTACGGTGACGCCACCCTTTACGAAGTATCTGTGTCTCTGCACAAGGAGCAGGAGGAACTTCACCAAGTTTCCAAGAAGTTCGGTATCAGAACCGCCGAGGTCATTCAGCAGCCTGACAAGCACGGAAAGTCCTTCTTCTTCCGTGTCAATGGCGTCGATATCTTCTGTGGTGGTTCCTGTTGGATCCCAGCCGATAATCTCCTTCCCAGCATCACTGCTGAGCGATACCGCAAATGGATTGAGCTCATGGTTCATGGCCGTCAAGTGATGATCAGGTAGGCTGTGATTATTAGCCTCATCATCCTCTTGGATGCATAGCTAACAGTTAGCAGAGTATGGGGTGGCGGCATCTATGAGGACAACAGCTTCTACGACGCGTGCGACGAACTCGGTGTGCTGGTTTGGCAAGACTTTATGTTTGGCTGCGGAAACTACCCAACCTGGCCCAACCTGCTCGAGTCCATCCGAAAGGAATCTGTGTACAACGTGCGTAGGCTGCGTCATCACCCATCCATCGTCATTTGGGTTGGCAACAATGAAGACTACCAGGTTCAGGAGCAGGCAGGTCTCACTTACAACTACGAGGACAAGGACCCTGAAAGCTGGTTGAAGACCGATTTCCCTGCCCGTTACATCTATGAGAAACTCCTCCCAGAGGTGGTTCAAGAATTCTCTCCCAGTACTTTCTATCACCCTGGTAGTCCTTGGGGTGATGGGAAGACCACGTCCGACCCCACCGTCGGTGACATGCATCAATGGAACGGTACGTTCATTGCGTCCCACTTGCACTGATCCTTGACTAATACTGGCAATAGTCTGGCACGGTACACAGGAGAAATACCAGATCTTTGATACCCTCGGCGGGCGATTCAACAGTGAGTTTGGAATGGAAGCATTCCCGCACATGTCAACTATCGACTACTTTGTTGAGAACGAAGCGGACAGGTATCCTCAATCGCATGTCCTTGACTTTCATAACAAGGCCGACGGCCATGAGCGCAGAATAGCTACATACCTTGTTGAAAACTTGAGGACGGCAACAGACTTGGAGGTATGCAATGCTGCAGCCCTCGTACTCATACGTGATTTCATGACTGACTCAGAATGCAGACACACATTTACCTTACACAGGTCGTTCAAGCAGAGACAATGATGTTCGGATACCGGGGATGGCGCCGCCAATGGGGTGACGAGAGACACTGTGGTGGTGCTCTCCTCTGGCAGCTGAACGACTGTTGGCCTACAATCTCCTGGGCTATCGTGGACTATTTCCTGCGGCCCAAGCCTGCGTTCTACGCTGTTGCACGAGTACTGAACCCTATCGCAGTTGGTGTTCGTAGAGAACATCATGACTGGAGCGTGACCCACGCACAGCCACCCAAGACGAGCAAGTTCGAACTCTGGGTTGCCAGCAGCCGGCAACAAGAGGTTCAAGGCACGGTGGAGCTTAGGTTCCTTTCCATCAACACTGGCCTTGAAGTCCGGGAGCGCATTGTGCACGAGAACGTCAGCATAGTGCCCAATGGCACAACCAACCTCATTGTGGACGGACTAATCGACCATAAAGTCCACTCTGAACCTCATGTCCTTGCTGCTCGGATCTGGGTCGATGGCCAGCTTGTGGCAAGGGATGTGGACTGGCCTCAACCATTCAAGTACCTTGATCTCTCGGGTCGGGGTCTTGATGTCAAGAAGGTCTCTGAATCGGAGGATGAGCAGACGCTGCTCATCAGCACGCAAAAGCCAGTCAAGTGCCTGGTCTTCGAGGAGCGTGAGGGCGTTAGAATTAGTGACAGTGCGATGGACATTGTGCCTGGTGACGACCAGAGAGTGACCATCAAGGGCCTGAAGCCTGGTGACGCTCCACTAAAGTACAAGTTCCTTGGACAGTAGAAGGCGATTGGGATTCTGGGCAACCGCACGGCACACATATCGCAAGCGAGGCATTGCTTGCCCATTCAAAATGAGTGCTCTAACGATGAATACTGTGCATTTACCTCATACACCAATCTAGCCATGAAAATAGAATAGAATATTCCTTAAACTAAGCACTCTCCGAAGCAAAATTCGGGTGTCCTGAACGTAGATCTTATCAGATAGCTATCACCCCAATATGGTTAAGCCTACCGGAGGAATGACGACCATGACCGTCAGCCAGCGACAATTTGTACAATCACCCCAGAAACACACCAACTCCAGCAACACCACTCCATGGCAGGTAACAAGCGATCGTGGGAAGGCAATCTTGTGAACACCGAGAAGACACAGACAAACATGGCCGCAGCACCAGTCGATCAGCCTTCTACACATATTCTCTCCATGTTCGAGACCTTCCGCGACGAACTCGATCAGCACCACGACCGCCGAGAACGAGTCATAAAGACGAGCAGAGATATTACAGCCCTGAGCAAGAAGATGTTAGTTCCCTGTCTGCTCCATACCACTTACACACACACACACACTCAATGCACAGCCCAATTCGCATATGCTGACGTTTTCCAACTACCAGAATCTTTTCGTTACAACGGTTAGTCTACCGATCCAGCATCCCATACTCTCGCGACACTACTATGGAACAACCATTAACCATCCCCAGCATCCGCACAATAAAAGCCCCTATCCCCGCCCCAATCGCCAAAGAGACCAAAACCCGCTTCGACCAAATCTCCACCCTCTTCCAGAACGTCATCCCCGACGTTACCGGCCTCAACAGCTGGCGCTACCAGCGCCAACTCAGCGGCGCCATCCAGGAATTCATCGAAGCCCTCTCCTTCAACCACTACCTACAGACCCAAACCCTCATCTCCCACGCCGAAGTCGTCAAGCACGTTCCCGCTGAGATCCTCGTCACGGAGGAAGATTACCTGTTGGGCTTGTTCGATCTGACGGGTGAAATGATGCGGTTTGCGATTACGTCGCTGTCGACGGGGACGGGCGCGCAGGGGCAGGCGGATAGCGGGGGCGACGATCTAGCGGCGCGGGATATTTCTGGCACTGGTGCGAATCAGAATCTGCCGAAGCTGCCGGCCACGCAGGCGGGCATCGTGGTTGATTTGAGGGAGATGCGGTCCTCGTTCGAGTTGCTGAGTGTGCCGCGGCGGCATGCGAATAATATGTTCCGAGATATGGGGAAGAAGGTGGATGTTATGCAGAATAGTGTGGAGAAGGTTGAGCGGGCTGCGTATGGGATCTTGGTGCGTGGTAGTGAGCGGCCGTCCGGGTGGACGCCGGATCTGTCGGCGCCGGTTGATATGGAGGTTTATTGATTACTGCTGCGCGGTACAACAGATGTGGAATGCACCACATCTTTAAAAAAGATCATCGGGTTACCATGTAGGGTACTACCAACAGTCATGACATTCTCAATCTCATAAAAGCGTGTGCATCATCAAGTAAAATAAGCATAAGCATGTACGGAGGCTATTGCCGTTCCCCCCATATTCAAAGCATATACCCATCAAAAACGCCCAATTGCCCATCCCAATTCCACATCAATATAGATGTAATCCGTCAGCAGCACTACACAGCCGGGCTCCTCGGATCCTCATCTTCCGTCAAGATACCCTGCGAGATAAGCTCCTCGGGCTGTGGCCTACGCTGCAGCTTCTGGTCCAGGTTATCCGCAAGCATATGCTTCTCGAGTTCCTTTGCGTTGGCCTGCAGCGCAGGCGCGGCGTTGATATGCGGGAGGATGTTACCTATCATAAATCAATCAGCTTGCTCTACTCCGCTTCAATCGAGCATGTCTTCCATCAATTTCCGTTAGGAATGGAATACACACGTTCAACGAGCTCATCCCGATCAGGACGATGCTCGAGGTGTTTCTTCAGGCTGTCTGTTGTACGCTGGCGCGCGAGTTCTGCTTTGGCAGCCTGGAGGGATCTACGGTCCGGTAGGTCTTAGTACTTGTGCATGGCAATGTAGGATTCAGATTCGGGGCGTGGTAGTTGATATCACTTACGGCGCCACGGTAGTGTCGAGCAGGATATGTCTTTCTTTCAGATCCTGGGGGTCGGGACGACTCTGGAGGTGTTTCTCGAGAGAATTGCGACGTTCCATGGACGAGGCTGAGAGGGGACTCTCGTCGATTTCAGCGTTGGGGATGATGATATTGTCCATGGTAGTGATAGCGATACCGATAGCGGGGTGGTGATAAGTGGTGATACGGGAGGACTGAGGTATATACTTGCGGAGACTCGACTGACTACTTCCACGACAACGCAGTTACGAATCCGAGAGAACAGTTGCAATGGGATAAGAGCAGAGACTAGGCTAATAACCAGTGATGAAGAAGAACGTGATGAGGTCCGAAGTGATGATGGTGTTGACAGACATGAATGGTAGGTCAAGTGATGATGCGGAGGCCAGTTCCACGGGACCTATGAGGGTGAGTCGGCGGGGCAACAGAAGTCAACGAAGTATCAGCCCCAGTCACCCCGCATATATCAAACGGAAGACGTCGCATCAAAAAGTCTGATTTGTATGCTAATTTTCCTCACTGAATTTAGAAATGAAGGCTGGAATACGCTCATCCACTCTGACAATAAAATAAGTAAGCATCACACATGTCAATTTGTTGACCCTCGATACCGCCTCCTTCTTCCGAACCCATTCTAAGAGTGGCATCATATTGTATCCAACGAAATCAAGCAACGCAACAACTACTGCCATCTGTGTGCTTCCAGCATGGACGTGTTGAAGGGGAGGAATTAGATCTTTGGACCGTATGGCGTTGGAAAGAATGATGGATCATGGAGTACCACCTGTAAAGCGGAAACAAATTGAAGACATCAGCGTGGTCCGCACTGTAAAAGAAAGTCAACGGCATAGGAAATCATCAGATCCCCGCAGCTAGACTCGAGACCATTTCTGATGCTTCAAAACCTTTCGATCGTAGTTGCGATGCAGAATGGTGCCATCGGATCGGAACCGTGCTGTGCTCGATTCGCGATCGTCTGCCTCATTCCTGTACATGCATGCCACACGCTCGGGTGAACCCGTCTGTCTCATTCATAGGCCACCGGTCAACTTTCGAAATCCGACCAGTAGGAAGTACAGCCAATGCAGATAATTCCCTTCTCTGCTTCGAATAACAACCGTAGAGGTCTATTTTGAGAAACTTGCAGAAGCCCGGTTCGCCAGTCGGACGATTGACGAACCTTTGCCTTCCCATCAAGGAACCCAGAGCTTGCCTCGACCACGATTGCTACCACGAGAAGGTCCTCGGGATGCTCCGCGACGACCACGAGATGCGCCAGCAAGGCCACGAGCGGCCCCAGCCTGAGTGCTCAAGTCGACGGTAGGCTGTTGCTTGGCAGTGGGACCTAAGGACCGACTGAAGGAATCGGGATCGATGGGCTGCGTGGGGATCTCAACCGTACTCTCCACGGGAGCTGCGACCACTTTGGGGGCAGTGGTTTTACGGTTGGTGGTTGCGCGCGAACCCCCGCCTCTCGATACTCCTTTTCCACGGCCGCGAGGTACGAACACCAACTCATCCTCGTCACTTTCGTCCTCGTACGAGAGTAGCGATTTCGGTTCAGACACCTGAGTCTTCTCAACGTACTTGCAACGGTTCTTGTACTCTCGTTCTTCATACTGGATCGAAGTCCGCAGTTGATGAATGTTCTTGACGGCAATGCCGAACTTTTGAGCCCACAATCCCGTTACCCGATCATTTGTGACGAGAATGCAAGTCTTCGCTGCATTGGTGGCGTCGGGACTACTGTGCAGGCGCCATAGAATGGCACTGAGAAGCGGACGAAGCACCACAGGGACTGTAGGAACCACGGATCCCGAAGCAGTGCGCCGATGCCCGCTCTCATTCTTCAAGGTGGCCTCATTCTGTACTCCACCGTTTGCAACCTTGCGCAGATTGGAGTCCTCGGGACTTGTGTGCGAACTTCTCGACGAGGGCGATGAGGCAGGATTACTGTGCGTACCCGCGGAGGGAATCGACGCGGCGTCGGATTCGGTCTTGAAGTTCAGCTTGTTGAGAAGCATCTGCGACAAATCATCCGGGGCCGCGCCATTTTTCTTGGTGCTGCTCTTCATCTTCTCGGCTGGCGTCTCCAGGGGCGACTGCTCCTCCGCATCATCTCCGTTAATCGTCTCGGGCACCTCCTCAAACTCCGGTAGGAAGAACTTCTCCGCCTCTTCCCAATTTTCGTACTGCTCCATCGGGCCTTGGAGAATGACGCTATCGGCAGGAATATTATCTTTGCCGGAAGTGACTCGATCGAGAAACCGGACAGCCTCACGCGAGTTGATGGCGATCTGGGATCCGGCTCTTTTCAACGCATGCAGGCGTTCAAGGGCTGGAAAACAACAGAAAACCTAATGAGCGAGCGGGACGGAGGACGGCGTCTCGGAAATCAATGTACTTACTGTAAAGAGGGACGAAGAGGGTAATGGCGCCGCTTGTGGTCCATCTTTTGATTTCGCTGATGTTGGTGGTTAGGGCCGTTTCGTCCACGGCACAATGGAAGACCTTGCGTCCGGCCGACATGGCTCTCAATGAGTGAAGGGCGACCGGGCGCTTTGATGGAAAAATTCGAACAATCAAGGCAGGACAGCGCACTCCTACACTAGACAGCTAGCTTTGACGACCGCGACTAGGCCGCAGTGCGATGTTAGCGGGATGCTAGAACTCCCGAAGGAGGTCTGGGTAGTTGGACGGAGGCGGAGGACTGGGAATGTGGGGGGCATGAATGAACTGAATCCATGTCGTAGAACCAGCCAGCAAGGACAGCTAAGATGCGTGCAATTTATACTTACAAGAGAACACTGTTTCACAAGTAGAGCTCATCAGCAGCATCTTGTGGTCTTGAATAATAATGAATGTGAACGTTAGTGAGCCCAAGAGAGGGAGTGTAACTGCATCCTACAGCGGCGGATCAACTCGAAGCCGCGGAGAATTAGTCGATCAGAACTTTTGACTAAGCACTAGAGCGCTAAGTTACCCTGTAGACGGTGATGATGTGACCCAGAAGGAAACCGCCATCCTTACCCGACACATTATGCTAAAGATTCTAGATAAATAGGACTATGCACATTATTTTTTCCCTGTATTACATTCTATCGCACAGCAGTGAAGCTCTAAGTTCTTCGTGTGTGTTAGCGCTCTAACGCAAGCCGATATGTATTCAAGGCAAGAGAACAGAAATGCTGTCATACAAATCCTTCAAGACCGTATCATGGCCACAATAAAAAAGGGTCTCCTCAGGTCGCCTTCTTAATTAGACCCTCCGAGTCGTTGACACGCTGTGCCCATTCACTAATCGCGAAGTGTCAGCGTTTGAACTCACAACCACAAGGCAAAGGAAAGAGAAAGATACTTACGTCCAGCTCCCGTCGTAAACCCTCCGAAGACTGGGATTTCCATACTCTGCGACATTCAAAGCAGTTTCAATGATACTGGCCGTCACGCCGGTCCCGCATGTGCTGATGATGGACTTGGTTTCATCGACTTCGTGTTTCTGAAAGACCTTGCGCAGCTCTTCAGGAGAAAGATATGTCTTTGTTTCAGGGTCAAGAAGTTCCTGGAAAGGCAAGCTCCTGGAGCCAGGGATATGTCCCGAAGACAACCCCGGGCGCGGTTCGGGATCAGTACCCGCCCATCGTCCGTAAGATCGAGCATCCAGGATCTCAACCTCCTTTGACCCTTCCTTTCGGTGTTCCTTGGCGATCTCCTTCAACTCCCGGTACGGAATAACCAGCTTAGAGTCGAATTGTGGGAGTGGGTAGCTGGTCTTCTCCACAGGCGCTGGCTCCCCAGTCTCTGTCGGATAGCCTTCACGAACCCACAGCCTGTAGTTGTTGAGGACATGAACCCTGGGATGCCCAAATACTCGTAAGGTCCAGCCAACACGAGGGGCGCTGAAGATACCAAGCTCTTCCGTATCGTAAACAACAACCTCGTCGTCGCGTCGAATGCCAAGCTCGCTCATCGCCTCGGCAAACGTTTCCACAGTAGGAAGCATATGCGGGTAGGGAGATTCAGAGTCCTTGATCGCGTCTAGATCGAAAAATCGTGCCTGAGGGATTCGATGCTTTCGAAAAGCATCAATGCCTTTGCGGCCCTGGGGGTCATTGGGCATAAACCACGCGGCACATAGAGGGATTACGCGCGGAGAAGTGGAGATCTTCGTGGTTGGATTCTTCTTCAAAGCTTCATTGAGTTCCCTGGGTGACACGAGGTAGGAAGAGAATGAGATCTGGCGACTCTGATGCTGAGAAATAGCCATGGTAGGACGCATCAAGCGAGTCGGTGAGGGAACGCTACGAAGAGTCGCAAAAGCCATACTCGCGACGAGTTCTCAGGTGGGAATAATCGATAAAACAATTCACATACCGAATGACGAATATCGTGATCAAATTAGGTCAGTAAACCTCGACAAACTGGGTAGACTGTAGAGGGAAGTGTACGGATGGTGGGGAGTCTTTTCCATCCAGTTATCTAGGCGTGCGGAGTCGGCCATTGCTTCTCCGCCATGTGAAAGAGGTAAACAACTCCGCGCTTATCGTCGCAACTCCGCTAAGATACCTGCAAGCTGCGTATCTTGTTACCCAGTTGAAACACAGCGTTCGTACAACAAAGAAGACAGACTCGTCAAGATGAAAGTTACTATCAAAGAATGGAATGCCGTCGCTACCTGGCGCTGGGATATGCCCGAGGACGACGTCTGTGGTATATGCCGTGTTCAATTTGACGGAACATGCCCAACCTGCAAATTTCCGGGAGACGACTGCTCACTTTGTCAGTTATCTTCCTACTCGAGTTTTGGCGACGAGACATAATGCTGATCTGTAACTCTACATCCTGCAGTACTCGGAAAATGCGGCCACTCTTTCCATATGGTGCGATTGTGGATCTTTTTGTCCTCATTCTATGAAGCCGCTAACTGGATCACTTTCCTGAACAGCATTGCCTTATGACTTGGATTCAACAGGAGTCTTCGAAAGGATTGTGCCCAATGTGCAGACAAAGTATGTACACTGCTGCTCCTGTTCTTGATGTTATGCTAATGGACTGTACAGAGTTTGAGTGGAAGCAAAATGACGAGTGAGGATGATGATATTGTCGACTTTCTGTTTTTAAGCCTTGTGATTCTATGGCAAGCGGAGTGTTAGGAGTTCTGATGTACATGATACCCTCGTTGTTTCCTTTGTCTCTTTCTTCATGACTGCGAAAGCTGCTCTACTCATATGACGCTTTTTCAACGGCTGTGCCTTGCAAGTCACCTGACTTATCGATAAGGAGTCGGCGCCCCCAACCATGTGATGATGATGAGCCATTCCGTAGCTTGAGACAGATTCTCGTTGACCAGGCCAAATCAAACCACTCCAATATCATCCCGAACTCAAGGATGTAGCTGCGCCGCTGGAGATGTCTTTGCCAACACAAACCACATCCCCCACCCAATACTCATCCTCTCCTCAACACGCCTCCCGAGGATTCTCCGGTCCCAAAACACTATCACGACCACAGAGCCTTGATCGACCTCCTACCGCGCAACGAGTCAGCCACTCCCCGGAGCAGCAAACAACCTACGATGTAGCTGGCGATATCTCATCTCTACAACCCGGGGATGATGACCATCATGAAACAAGTTCCGTTTGGCACCCATCATTTCAGCCCTTCTTCACGCTCATAGAGGATGCAAACACCTCCGAATACCACCACCCAGCAGTCCACTACATCTTCTCCGACGACGACACAGACATCGTAACGGAAGCAGCTCTACGCGCCCTGGAAACGGAGCAAGATATCTCTCCCGATTCTTCAAAAGGGAAAGCAAAGTCAGCCAACAATCAACCACCGACGCAGCAGCAGGACGCCGTGCGGAACGAAACTGCGCTCCCGGAGGACGATGAACCCCCAGCCCCAAAGAAGGAGCCCCTCCTGCCCCCTCCGATCCCCGGCGTTCGCGACAACTACATAATCCTCGACATGGAGCTCGCTAATCCTGACTATGCGAAACAATTGAGCTCGGATGCGGCTCGCGCTGCCGGCACGGCCGGTATGAGGTCCATATCCACTTCGCCGGTCGCTCAGGGAACACTCCTGCACCAGCAGTCGCCATCTGGGCCACATGGGTTCCTCCCGGCCCAGCCTCAGTTCAACGTTGTGTCCGCACATAGCCTGACACCAGCATGGCAAGTGCTCAGCACGCAAGTCGTACCAGCACCGACTTTCGAGAATAATGCTTCAGGCGAGCAACCGTCAATCGGTGGCTTGATGCTCAAGATCCGCGGTACCTCTGGTCTGCCTGTGACGATGGTTGGAAAGGATAGAGACAAGGAAAGGGGAAGTCAACGACTGGAAGATATGATGGAGCAGTTTGGGAAACGCCTAGGCGAGCTCAGGCAGGTCATCGAGGCTGGAGAGCAGGTTCAGCCTACCCAGGATGCTCTGTTTGAAGGAGAAGAAGTGCTGGGGGGTGTAGATGCCAATGCTGTTTTGGATAAACACCCTCGTGAACAGATGGATGGCCATAGCAATACCAAGGATGAGACAGGCGACACCAGCAGTATCTGACGTCGCAGAACGGTTTAATATAATTAAGAAACAGTGCGACGGCTCCGTATATCAGCTCTCCTGTTAGATGAGTTTATTGTATCGTTGTGATCGACCTCGTTTGACACAAATACCTCAGGTGTGTTTTTATCATGGTCAAGTCCCTGATATGTGGTCATTACATCCCACCTAGAATAACTTACGTTTGTGATCGAGGTAGCACCAATCAAGCACCGTTTCACGAAGGTCAGGACCTGGAAAAGCTGGGTATGTATTGAAATCGATTTTAAACGCGATGGAATCCACGCAATTGTTGGGTTGCAAAACAATATAGCGACCAAAGTCCGAGAAATCGACGAAGTACAAAAAACAGACAATGCACGGGTAGCCAAGGTTCTGTACACAAACTATAGATCGAATATTCCATCAGAGACCGAAAAGTAGAAATCACACCGGAAACGCCGTCACGACTCATGCAACCAGGGGTATCAGAGCAAGAATGACAGGGTAACAACTATCTGCATCGGATGCGCATACAAAATGAAAGTTTCAGTCGGAGGGTTGTTGGTTTCTGAGCCTTCGTCCGCGCGATCCTGGCAGAGGAACATTTTCTCTGCCTTCCATCATCCCGGCCATTTTCTTTGTCAGCATCTTCTGAGGAAGCTTGTTATCAGTCACACCAGAGCTGGAGCAGTGTCTTTTGGCGGGCGGGGCGTCAGCTTCCTCAATCACTGCTGATTTGTCGGTGGACAAGGATACCCGGCCGTTTGCTGCTATGGAAGACTTGGATTGAGTGGCGGTTGAATCATCATCAGTGTCACACGCTAGTTGTTTTGCGACGATGTTTGCGTCGACTTCCCTAAGACCAGTGTTGAGAGGAGTCGCGGTAGTGGACGGAGGTTGCTGGGCTCCTACCTCGTCCTCAACATCGTGGTAGACGAAGCCTTTTAATGGAGTTCCGGTAGAACTGTCCAGAGAAGAAACAGAAGCGCTCGGCTCAGCGTTGCTAAATGGCAGGGCCTCAAGCTCCTTGGAGGTTCTCATCCTTTTGACTAAGGCATCGTGCGCCTCGGTTCGAGGCAGAGTGGTTGGATACTCATAACGCCTCTTTTGAGGAGTGATGCCGGTTGGAATATACTCTTGAAGAGGGCGTTCTCGAATGTTGGTGCGAAGCTCCGACAAGGGTTTCTGAACTTCGTCGGACAGAGGCAGCGTCAATTCCCGAAGGTTCTCCATTTGTTGATTCGCGTCCTCCTGCAAACAGGTGGTTCGGTCACGAGAACCGGCTAGGTGTTCTTCATATGCTGCGTAGGATTGTTGGGCATTGGACGCCATGCTCTGTAAGCTAGTCATGTGGGCGTCGCAGTACTGGCCATTCTGTGCTCGTGCCTTGGCGACGAAATCATCCAATGTGCCCATCTGTCTACTCATGTCCTTCATCTGGGCATCCACGATCCGGACGGTCTCCTCGTGCACTGACTCGGTGACTTTCTGGATGGATGCGTTGCGTTGATCGAATGTCTGCGAAATCAGTATTGACACATCTCTAATTAAGCGGTGGGTTCTTACCTCCCAATCATGCTGCATCTTGGTCTTGAATTCATCTCGAGATGCAATGACATCTTTGGCAAATTGCTCCGACTTGAATACCCATTCATCAACCTGCCGATCGTAGTGCGCCGTTGCTTGTTCCAAGGAGTCACCCGAAGACATGATGTCAGTCCGCACACACTCAACTCTGCCCTTCAAACGACCGAATTGTCTCTGGCGAGATTCGTCAATCAATGACCTGATTTGTGACATGAGGTGATCCCGTTCCGCTTCAGCGTGGGCATTTTCCTCTTCCATGGTTTGGGCTAAATGCGCTGAAGCCCTGCGATTCGCCTCCACCGCCTGCTGATTAGCCTCCTGCAGTTGTAGGCGAAGCTGATTGATCTCAGCTTTTTGGCTATTGACGTGGGCTACCATGTCCTCAAACATGGATTTCAAATCTTTCCCGAGAGTGCTGTAAGATGCGTGGAGCTATGTCGGTTAGCACATGGCACTTGCTTGCAACACGAGAATCCAGCTCACCTGGGCATGAAACTCTGAGAACTCGCCGATGACCTCCTTCGAGATACGGGCTGCCGCCGCTGACAGACCATTCAAACCCTCTCCGACCCTACCTTTGACTTCCTCGCGCAGAATCTTAATCTCTTCGAGGACGTTGTTCATCTGATCATGAGAATCGGAAGTCTGAGCCTGAGCCTCCCGTAGCGCTTTGTCGAAAGAGAGGTTGAAATTGCGAACTTCTTCTTCAGTTGACTGGAATTGGGTCAATTCGCCCTCGACAAAAGTATTGATCTTCGTGACGAAGTGCTCAGCGAGCTTCGAGTGTCGGTCTAAGAACGTCCCGACCCTACTGTCGACCATGCTTGTCACGTCAGCAACTTCGTCTACAGAAGTCTCCCATTTCTCCCGATTTGTTTGCTCGAGGTCTGCTTTCCGTTCTAGTTTCGCATGCAACCCTTCCACATCACCAACTGTCTTTTCCAATGTCGATACTAAATCGGACCCAATATTGCGCAGTTGGGCTTCCGTATCCTGATGGGCTTTGCGTAACATTTCTTCCTCTTCGAGAGTGGCTCTTGTATCCTTCAAAACAATTTCCGTTTTCTCGAGGATATCATTGGTCTCGTTCAACGCAGCACGGGTATCCTCATGATCCCTCTTGAGGTTGTTAAAGTTGCTGGTCAACGTGAATAGCTCTTTAACCTTGTTCCGTAGGCTAGACTCCATGGACTCGATCTTGGCTCTTTGTTCCTCATTGACAATTCTTCGGGATTCGCTCTCCATCGTCATCTGCTCATAGGCATCGGGTGTCATGTAAACACCGTTCCTATGTCTTGTGGCGATAAGTTCCCCTTTGAGCTTCTCTATTTCTAGTGTGAACTCTCGAAGAAGAGTCTTTTTCGCCATATAGTTGATCTGAGGTTTATTGCGGATGTTCTTGGCCCGGAATGCGTAGTCCAGCGTGGATATGGTCTCTTCAAGATTGCTACGGGAGGGCGAGATTGTGGCAATTATGCATGTTTTTGTTCGCCCGCCGAGAGAGTCTTGCAATAACCGCGTCAGTTTTGATTCTCTGCTTGCAGTTAGCTTCCTCTTCTCCAAAGAGACCTTGAAAAAGTGTCGCGTACCTGTATGGGATGTGCGGGCTTTTATCCACCAGCGCATTGATCACACGGCCAAGAGTGAGCAGGGATTTGTTGATCAAACCAGCCTCCGTAGCTCGCTTATTCTCAGCACCGCTGCGCTGGATATTCTCACTACCAGCCAGGTCGACCAGGTTGAGCTTTCCAGAGCTGATGTAGTCATCACCGTTCTCAGTGGTCCTTTTGGTATAGACCGTAATTGTGAAGATCGTGTGACTTCGAGAGCTCAGGTCGTTGCATTTGGTGGCAGCGACTTGGCGTTTGTGGCTGCCAAGCTGAAGTAGTTTAATACCAGCAGATGCCGAGTCAATCCACGTTTCTTCCATCCCTTGCACAAGTGTGCTGCCGCTGGTGCCCTTTTTCTCGTTCTCGAAGATCTTCAACCTTGGGTTCTCCTCAGCTGAAAGCAAGTCGCGCAACTCTTCGTTGTAAAGCTCAATGAAAGAGCATTTTACCGTGCTTTCCGTATCCTCGAGCTTGTGGAACAACGAGTACAAAACACGTGGTATAACACCAGCATTGTCGGATAGTATCCCAAGAGTGTCTGTCATATCACCCGACATGGTGTATGTTTTGCCCGTTCCTGTCTGCCCGTATGCGAAGACAGTACAGTTGTAACCCGCGAGCATCTGCTTCCATTAGCTGGTCGACTTCTTGCTATTTTTCACAAGGTTGGCAGTAAGTAGCTGACCTCATTCACAATTGGAAGAACAACGTCCTCGTATACAGTGACCTGATCAGCCGCAGCCGAGAAGACTTTGTCGAAAGTGTAAGCTTTATTCGAGACTGCATTCGGGCCCATTGACAGCTCCACAGTCTTTCCCTTTGCTCCCTCGGTCAATACTACCACGCCGCTGTTTTCCTTGATTTCGCGATCATTACGCCCACGGCACCGTACAACCACGTGAATACTCGTGTCCTCGTTAATCTCGCGCTCATAATCTCTCTGATTCCTTATCGCAGAGATGCTGGCCGTGTCGCTCGGTGACTTCAGACGAGAGGCGTTCGGGGCAGAAGCTTTCGCCGGTATCGCCGATGATGTTCTTCTCTCAGTCGCTGACGAGGTCGGGCGCCGTGTTGCTTGTCGCGTACCCGTCCTCCTGGTGGGCAGGCCGGAGGCAGGCCGTTGGGGGCCGGCCATGGTGAAAGGTCAACGAGCAAATTATTCCGATAGATCAAAACAAGAAAACAATAGCTATCGGAGATGAGTAGGCTAGCAATCTAGCAAGAAAATTTTTTGGTTGGTTGCTGGATGCCGGCAAGTTGTCTGTCTCTATAGAGATCAAAGTAATTAGGCCAACGTTTGTTGTGGCTCGACGGAGACTGGAAAAGGAAAATGTAAACAAACCCGCATGTTGCGCACGCGGCGATAAATGGTCTGTGCTCCAGGGGGTCATCCGCCCCTCTCACATGATCCGATGTGGTCTCAGCCTGTCCATCTACATACAAATCTGTAACCTATCTACTCATCATCATCGTATCCTGTCATCTCAATCACATCTGAACCGACATCTCAAGTATTATTTGGTGATTTACCTTACGTTGTCTATCTGTGGAGAGACGCTCTGTACGCGTGCAAGCGGCTTCACTCATATGTATACCTCATGATGAGAATCGGTCCCTGATCACCATGACCGCCCCGAGAGCTCCCACGCAGGCCCAGATATCACCTGGGAAGGGACTGGGCTTCATCAGCATGTTCTCCTCTGTTACTCTCTTTCTCTATAGAGCTAATCTTGAATAGCGCTTGGTGCTTCCCTCCACAATGTTTTAACTCGTGTAAAATCACATCCACACCTCTACCCCGCAGTCGATCTTGCCTACTCCTCATCCGATCCCCTGCGGAAGCCAGTCATCCTACAGCTACCTTCAAATGGCCTTCGCCTGCGTTTTGATGGACCCGATCAAAGGCTACGGCTTATTGAGGTGCTAGACTTCTCGAAAATCACTTTGGTTTACAAAAACCAAGAAGTAATGAAGGGCGTGAAACCACAAGAACAAGCCGTTTCGCAACAAGGTCCCAGTTTTCGTCATATCTACAATCGCCTCTTCGGGCCCTCCTACCCGGGCGAATATACACCTCCAGGTGATGGCCATTCACCATATGGGACATATGTGCTCTCGTATCCAGGGGTTGCGTTTTCGTTCCCTCTACAGAACTCGGCATGGTCAGAGCAATGTGATTTTGTAGCACTGCTTTCTTCATCGGCAGCTTTACCAGCGACATCCATGGCTATATTCCAGGGCGTCTCATGGCCGGAGGCTAGGGATAAGCTATTCTCGCAGCAGCCGCAATATCCTCGCTCTCCAGCGCTAAGTGGCAAGAACCGTGATCTCCTCTCGGATGAGATTGAAGAGTTCATCATCTTCGGCGCCGGCAAGATGGAGGTAATCCGCAGGTCTAGTCCTCCTACTAGTATCACGCTGTCAGAGACGACTCCACAGGATCTTATTGCTGAGTTTGGACCACCTGATGCTATCTATCGGAAGAATGACCGGAGAATATCGATTCACCGGGCAGCCGGTAATAATAGTGCAGCAGATGCACTGCACATGAGCCCTTCCCCAGGTAGGGGGATCGATGTCACTGACACAGATCAATCTTCGATCAACAGCGTCACTGATGACTCAGATGAGGAGATCTCCCCGGTCAATAATATTGACCCTTCATCGCTCCCTACCGAATGCTTCTTCAATTATTTCCATCACGGTTTCGATGCCTTTATCTCGTATCCCACTGTCGTCGGCCCTGCGTTTCCGGGATCTGATTTGTCCGACGCATCGCCTCCACCACCTTCTTCCCAACTCGTCGTCACTAAGATCATACTGCACGGAAATATTCCAGGCTCATATCCCTTTAACCGTCATCGACGCAGTCGTTGGACGATCAGTCTCGATCCGGCAGGTGATGTCGTGACGTCCGAGACCCCGTACGACGCAATTTCTGAGAAGTTGAGGGAGGTCTGGAAAGGATCTTATGCAAGCACTGCAGAGGAGCGGGCTCTACAACGGCCCATGGTGCTGAATCGCGGCTGGGGGGACAGTCCTGAGAGTAGTGTCGAGTTCCTCGGTGGTTGGGAGGAAACTACTACCAGAGGACAACGGAACGGTCATGATAGTCACGATGGGGGCTTGGGTAACACAGAATTATTCGGCTTTCCCGGGTTACTATTTGAAGTGATGAAGAATGGGGCTGTGAGCTGCTTGACCGTATATTGATTGCTGCTTGGGATGGTATAGACTTCAGTCTGGAATTTGCCTATCAAGTCCGACATCACTTCATGAGTCACGACATACGAGTCACGATGTTGCCAATTAGATGATACCTTAATTATTTTTTCAATGGGATTACCTTTTATAATTGAAGTTAATGGTCTTTTCCCCAAAAATATTCGTCATTTTGGTAAATCTGCAAAGGGTCGACATAGTAGGGTATATATATCAACTTTGGAGGTCCAGGCACTAAAGCTCTAGTGTTACCTCCGATGGGCCCCGATCTGTCGGGGATGGATCCCCATAATTATTTTTCATCTGTCTCCGCTCATAACTCCAACCCAGATCTTCAACGCGACCAACTTCAACCTCACCTCCGAGGCGGGATATGCTTCAGCGGTAGTATGCCGGAATTGCCGCGGTCGCTCACTCGGTCCTGGTCGTCGACGCTGAAACTCCCCAAGTCAACCTTCCCCGCACGCGTGACGCCGGCCGACCAGACAAAGTACCTACAGCGATGCACCGACGAGCTCTACGCCTGGCAGCGCCGTGAAAGGCCCGCTGACCGACCATTTGTATTGCATGATGGACCACCATACGCAAATGGCGACCTTCACGTCGGACACGCGCTTAACAAGATATTGAAAGATATAATTTGCCGAGTGCAGCTGGCTAAAGGGAAGCGCGTTCGGTATGTGCCAGGATGGGATTGCCATGGATTACCCATCGAGCTCAAGGCGCTTGAGCTTCAGAAAGAGCTTGGAAACACCGGGGGATCTATCGGTGCTGCTGCTATCCGAAAAGCTGCACGTAAGCTGGCAGGGCGGACAGTCAAAGAGCAGATGAAAGGCTTTCGAAGCTTCGGCGTGATGGCCGACTGGGACGGCCATTGGAAAACTATGGATAAGGAATTCGAGAAGAGACAACTTGGTGTTTTTCGTGAGATGGTGGATAAGGGATTGATCTATCGAAGGTTCAAACCTGTCTACTGGTCTCCGTCTACCGGGACAGCGCTTGCAGAAGCCGAATTGGAATACAAAGATGATCATGTTTCCACCGCGGCCCTAGTCAAATTTCCTCTGGTCTCAGTCCCGCCACAATTGGCTCAGGACCCTTTGATACAGCTTAAGGACCTCAGTGCCGTTATTTGGACTACGACGCCTTGGACCCTGCCCGCCAACGCTGTGATCGCTGTTCACGAATCCTTGGATTATATGATCGTTCAGTCGGATACTCACGGGCAGCTTATTGTCGCTCAATCGCGGTTTGAATACCTGGAACATATGTTGAAGGAGGATCTGACTGTTATCATCCCATCTATTCGTGGGTCAGAGCTAGCAGAGCAGACAAAGTATCGACCGCTTTTCAAGTCAACCGACGCGGAACCGCAGCCGATCATAGCTGGGGATTTTGTCACTGCCGATTCTGGATCAGGACTTGTGCATTGTGCCCCTGGTCATGGTATGGACGACTATGAAGCTTGCGTTCCTCGTGGCATCCCTGCCTTTGCTCCTGTTGATGACCATGGTAAATTCACCGACAAGGCCATGCCCAGTGACCCAGCAAGGCTGAGTGGAAAAAGTGTCCTGGGGGAAGGGACAGCCGCTGTGCTCGAGTACATTGAGTCGCAAGGCTACCTGCTGGCAAAACATCAGTACGAGCATAAGTATCCTTACGATTGGAGGTCCAAGCTGCCGATCATCATCCGAGCAACTGAACAATGGTTTGCGGATGTGGCAGATATCCGTAACAGCGCTGTAAAAGCCTTGGATGATGTCAGATTCGTCCCTAGTTCCGGAAAGCAACGACTGGAGAACTTTGTCAAGAACCGTAGCGAATGGTGCATTTCACGCCAACGTGCCTGGGGTGTCCCAATTCCCGCCCTTTATAATCGGGCCACAGGCGATGCTGTGCTCACCCGGGACAGCGTCTCGCACATCATGTCTGTGATCGAGGAACGAGGCATAGATGCATGGTGGACTGACGATATGAATGACCCTGCGTGGATTCCGCCGACACTGCGAGAAGAGTCTGGACCCGGCTACAGGCGCGGCACTGATACCATGGATGTGTGGTTCGATAGCGGTACAAGTTGGACAGAGATCGACACGCCTCCACGCGATGGATACCCTGCGGATGTTTACCTGGAAGGCACCGACCAGCACCGCGGCTGGTTCCAGTCCGGGCTTCTCACATACATTTCCCATCAGCTTGCCCCAGGGCAGACTGCTACTCCTCGAGCACCATTCAAGAATCTCGTCACTCATGGATTTACTCTCGACGAGGAAGGACGCAAGATGAGTAAGTCCATTGGGAATGTGATTCACCCACAGTCGATCATGGACGGAACTCTTTTGCCCCCTCTTAAGCCGAGAAAAGGCAAAGGGAAGCAACAAGAAAATAAAGAGCCAGTGTATGATGCTCTGGGACCTGATGCACTTCGAATGTGGGTTGCAAGCAGTGACTATACACGGGACGTTGTGATTGGAAAACAAGTGCTTCAGACCGTCAACACCAGCCTACACAAATTCCGTGTGACTTTCAAGCTCCTTCTGGGTGCTCTGTCAGATTTCCGGCCACAGGACCAACTTCAATACAGCCAGTTGCAGCAGGTGGACCGCATGGCGCTTTTGCACCTGTCCGAGATGGTCCTCGCCTGTCAAAAAGCATGCGAGAATTTCGAGTTCTACAAGGCTGTGAACGCAATGAACCGGTGGGCCAATCTTCAATTTTCGGCCTTCTACATGGAGACGATCAAGGACCGTCTCTATACCTATGGTGAGAGCAGCACCAGCAGACGCGCCGCTCAGACGACCTTGTTCCACATCTATAACTACCTTCAGGAAATACTGGCTCCTATCACGCCCTTGCTTGTGGAAGAGACCTGGGAACATACCCCAGAAGCCATCAAGCTGCAATGCGGGCATCCCTTGAAGCGTGTAGCCTCGACACCTCCTGTCGAGTGGTTGAACCAGTCTCTTGAGGCAGATTATCAGGATATCGCAGGGGTCAGTTCGGTCATCAAAGCTCTACAGGAGCAAGCGAGAGGCAAGAAGCAACTAGGCTCTTCTCTTCAGTCCTTCGTCCATATCGTATTACCTGAGGGCAATTCGACCGGATCCGCCTTGAAACGCAACCTGTCGGAGCTCAATGATATGTTCGTTGTCTCTTCAGTTACGCTCGGTGCGCACGGAGAGCCTGTCCCGGCTTCCATTCTTGACGCAGAGTGGCAGTACAGCGACGCGTATGAACTTCCCAGCGGAGGAAAGGGAACTGTGTACATCTACACGCCGCAAGCGGATAAGTGTCCTCGTTGCTGGCGTTATGTTGTCCCAGAGCCTCAGGCTGATGGCACACTGTGCAATCGTTGCGAGGATGTTGTGCGAGACCTTGATGCGTCAACTTCTGGCGAGACTGTTACTAATGGCACTGCCTAATTTCTTTTCTGACCCTTGCGTCTGATTCTTATTCGTCTATTCGGCTCTTAGCCGAGTCTAGGTAGCCATGTACTATGGTTTCCGGAGCTTGATTATGTTCAGTAACCTCCCTCCATTTCTGGTTCCAAATTTAGGTAGTATTACAACGGATGTGGACCCCGCATCACGTCAGGGATTGAAATGATACCTAGCCTACGAGAGTTATGTAAATGGGATCTTGATGTTTTTAGTTACAGAACGCAAGGGTGTCCTTGAGAGGAGGTAAGGCAGCAGTGGTATGATGCCGCCCACTTCGCCGTGGCAAAGACCTCAGGCAGTTGTAGCTCAGGTAATCAACCATCTTATGACCATATGACCAGAACCTCATATTTATCCAACATCCAGCTGCTTGCGGCCTGCATCCGCTCTAGAACCTTGGCGAGTATAGGTGCTAAGGAGTGTTATTGGTTGTGAAATACTTTGCTGCACAGGTCGAAATAACTTCCCAGTTTTGATGACGCCACCATCGAGGTCAGCATGACGACTGCTCCTCGTAGCCCGCAAATCAATTCCAACAGAGTACGAGCCCAGGCGAAATGACGACAATTGTGCCACGAAAGCTCCTCTTTTAAATCGATGTTAGCGGGGATGGATCTCGTTTTGACGTGTCGATCATCGAACTTGGTTATCCAGTGCCCGATCAGATCAGCTATTGATCATTCTTCCCTGGAGCTATAAAGAGCGGAACTGCCATAATTCTTGACACTAACGAACACCGCGAATTTGCACTATTCAAGATGTTCGACTCGATGTTGTCTCATACGAAGCGCCCGTTTCCCTTGCCTACTTCGACCTCGTCGGTAGGTCCAGTACCTACCGTTATTCCCGGGGATACTCCCATCTTCCAGGAACTCGGAACGACTGGCAAGCGGACATTATGGTACGCAACTATTTGACGGATTTCACCAAAAGCATGGCTAATAGGCTCAGGGTGGTTACGGTTCTCATGGGACTCTCGTCACTGGTCTTCTACACGCTTAGTGCTCGGGTACCATTGGTATGTACTGAAACTGTCGTAATCGTGGATTGAGACTCACACATCGCAGTCGAAGCGCGTCTTCCACACACTGGTCTCCATCATGACCACTGTCTCATTCCTCGTCTACCTTGCCCTCGCAACGGGAAGCGGCATGGCCTGGAAACACGACTCTCTCAAGCATACCCACAAGCATGTTCCAGATACCACGCAGGATTACTTCCGCCAGGTATTGTGGCTACGCTACCTCAACTGGTTCGTGACCGAGCCACTCAGCCTCATCAACCTGGCGTTGGTATCGGGCCTTCCTGGCGCGCATTTGCTCGTCGCCATTGCTGCTGATTATGTTATGCTGGGCTCCGGACTGCTTGGCACCTTTGTGGGCCACACATCGCGCAGATGGGTCTGGTTCACCGTCAGTGCTCTGGGATACCTGACGACGGTTTACCATATTGCCATCAATGGAGGCAAGGCAGCCAATAACAAGGATGCACAGACTAGACGGTTCTTTGCGTCTTTGTCTGGTGTGACTTTGATTGTCAAAGTGCTGTACCCAGTGTATGTGATCGATCACACTTTCAGACAACGTGAAATGGAGTAGCTGACATATTTAGTGCTCTCGCGGCAGGCGGCCTGGCTTTGAGGATGAATGTCGATACCGAGACCGTTGTCTTCGCCATCTATGACATTTTCACTCAGGGCTTACTTGGGTACTGGTTGATCCTCGCACAAGACAGTTCCCAGGGAATGTAAGTAGATGTCTCGTACGACGCTCATACCTGACGAATGTAGATCTAATTCTTCTTAGATCTCTCTACGTTGACGGATTCTGGTCTAATGGCATCGGAAACGAAGGAGCTATTCGGATCAGCGAGGAGGACGGAGCTTAAAGCTTAAATACCTCGTGAAACAAATGACCCCTGGGTTCAGCAACGATTGCACAGAAGTGCAAATTCTTATGACGAAGCGCTCTAGTGAGAGCATGAAAGGCGGACTGGGTTTCTGAGAACATACACTGATATCAGTGTCTTGTCTCTCCCTTGATGAATTGCTATTCTGTGTGCGAGTGTATCCGCAATTAGTCGGTCCAAGTGTTCCCTAGCTTTGATGATCAGTGATGAAGGAATGTATAATACATTTTTGATAGTCGAACAGAATCGGTTCCTGTAATATCTCATTTGGAGTAAGGTACTTTTGCTCAGCTAAAGAGCTCCAATGACAGCTACTTACATTCTCAGCTTAGTTGATTCAATAATTTACAGCAGCTTCGGCCATGCGCATCCATGCTACTATGACCCAGACTCAGGCTAGACTGCAACCTTGAGAAAGGGTAAAGGATACTGTCTGTGCTAATGATTAGCCCTTCTACCCTGATACTCATCTGTGTCTCGCTTCTTCACGGAGGCCTTCCGGAACGGGTTACGCAGAGAATGGTGCTTAAGGCTCTCAGAACCACGGAACGGCATCTCCCCAACTTTCTTCCCGCCTTTTAGCTCGATAACCTTCAACTCTCTGAGCGGGTCGATCCTGCGAGCGGGCACCGGCTCCGTCGATACATCGCGCGGGTAGTGGATCGCCACCTTTCTCATCGGCCAGGGGAGATAGAAGCCGGCGTCAACGCAGAAATCCTTGAAGTTTATGCATTTGAGATGCTTAGGGTTGAACCAGTGGATAAAGGGGTCAGCGTCGACGACGAAGCCCGTCAGGATCAGCGTCTTGATGGAGAGGCGGTTCAGCGTACGACCCATGACCATGGCGCGGACTTTAGCTTTCTCGATGGCGGTCTTGTCGAGGTATTCGGCGGCTCCGATTTTGGGGTCAAGGGTTCCGTCGCCTGCGTGGCCGCTGTTGGGGCATCTTAGCTTGTATCCTGCTTTATCACTCTGGAATCAATCGAGGGTAGCTAGCTTACTGGTAGACCGGCTCGCTATGATGTGATTGATCGAGCATCCAGCCGCCTTTGATATAGGGCCATCTCTTACTAGCCCTGCGGCGGATCCGAGGCTCAAGCGCCATCCCCAGCTCTAGCTCCTCGAGGTCAGTGTTGAGCCAGGCAGCCTGCCAGATATACTTCTGGTACGACTGTATCATCCCCGTGATTTTCAGCACGCGCAGGTTGCGAAACTGGCAAAGCGGGGCCATTTCTTCAATGTTGAGCATGTTCTCCTCGACGTCCTGACCCTCTTTGACGGGCCAGAAGACATCGATTCCTAACGCGGTCAGGTCCTTCGGGAGGTGGTTCCAGGTTGCTCCGCCGCGGAAGTATATGAGAGGTCTTGCTGGTGTTCCTGGCTCCTGGGGGTGGGGGTAGCCAGGACGGACTCGATCTTCTCGTTCCTCCTGCTATTCGCCATATTGAAGGGAGTGCGGAAGCGGCGACGGCGAGTTTCTGATGAGATGCTCGGGGCTCGGGTGGGAGAGCGAGACTGAGAGCGCTGACGTTTGCTAAAGTCGAAGAGACGGCTTTGAGAAAACGGATTCAAACTCAGCGCATCGCTCATGCTAAAGCGACGGCGCTGCTTCTTTTCAACCTCTACTTCCTTCGCGACGTCTTCGATAGGCGGCAGTCTTGCAGCAGTCAAGTGAAAGGAAACCTCAAATGTAAAGTTGAACTGCGATCTAGATTATCATGTTGACAACGCATGAGCATTCTTTGCTAGGACGAAGGTCGCGATATGTTGTTGCCAGACTTGGGCATGGAGGAGGAGGAACTTACTTGCTTCGATGCTGTCGTGGACGGGCTGGTTGAACCGCTCTGCGTCTTTCCAGAAAGCTTCCCCGAGGAGTGTTGCTTTCCAGTGCGAAGGGAAGTCTTCGGTTCTGTTTGTTTCCATCCCAGAGATGCGCTCATTCAGACTTGCTCTTGATGGCTACCCCAAGATCAAGATCAGATTTGAGATGGAAAGATCAGATAGATGGCACAGTCCAAGCAAGATCGGATGTTAGAGCGTCGTAACGGGAAGATTGAGAAGGATTGAAAGGAGACAGGCTTCTGACCCTGATCAGTGTTCCTGTCACCCTGTGAGGCGCGTGCTATGGCTAGTAGTGAATACGATTTTTGCTGTGTTCAGGGCAATCGAAGACCCTTCTGCTAACACTTTAATCTTAAGCCACTCTGTATTCTTCAGCTGCAAAGGGTCTGCTCTGTTTACCATGATGGTCTTCATTACTATTGGCCTCGCAGGCCTGTGTGCTTTTGACTATTTTCGTTCCGCCTGGCTCAGCGCACGGGTCTTCCATATACCATATTGCCTCTGACTGGGAATACTTTGCAGGTGAAAATACTGCTCAGTATCAAATAGCCCCCGTATATCATCAACCACTGGCTCCCTGGCTGGCTAGCTGACATCATAAACGACGATACTTATGATTACCGATGGACCGTTAAAGATCGACGTGCCAAAAGGCTGGGGAAAATGTATATGGCCGTCACAGCGGAGAATATAGTTTGCCATATCGCAGATGCTTCCGTCGTTTCACAGATGTGCAATGCACGTCAAAGCTTCCGCAAGCCGATTTGGCAATATGGTAAGCTCTTCCGGCAACCAATCATCTATGTTATCGGTTCTCGGACAGGGATTAACGATGCAGACAGGGTTTCTCAAGCTGTACGGACCTAATCTACTTACAGTAGGGGCTGCATTCTTGGACTAGGTCTTCGAGACTCTAAATTGTTGGCTGACTCGGAGTAGTGTGAAGACCAAGCTTGGGCGCATCACAGGCGTCACACAGCACCAACCTTCAACGAGAAGAACAGTGCACTTGTTTGGGAAGAGTCTATCCGTCAGATGACAGAGATGCTCCATAACTGGCAGACATCGGGAACGTCAAGAAGCTGCAAGTTTCGTTGTAGCGAGTACAAGGGGCGACCTTCGAAAGTTCAGCCTGAATGTCCTCTCTGGTGCTGGCTTCGGGGTGAAGCTTCCCTTCAAGCAATTACCACAAGAGTCGAACGACGACCCCAATGACATGTTCAAAGTTACAGCAAAGCCTCCAGCGGGGTTCAGCTTCACCTTCCGGTCTGCTGTGGCGTATATGAATCTAAGGATCATGGCGGTGGTTTTGGCAACTATGATCATACCGAAATGGATTCCTAGGTCGTTGATTCCATGGCTCAAGTCGGACTTTGAAGCTCATAGGGACTTAGAGGCTTAATTTCGGAAATTGATCAGCATTGGTAAATCTGGGAAGACAGCTGACAGCAGTCAAAACTTGATCCAGGGACTGCTATTGTCCAGAAACGAAGAGGCAGCAAGTGGGAGCTCGAAAGGCACTGGCCTGACCGATTTGGAAATCATTAGGAATATGCATATCTTCACCATTGCAGGACACGAAACCAAGGCAACCTCTTTGCAATTTACCCTGCTACTCTTGGCATTACACCGGATGTTCAAAACTGGTTATACGAAGGTATCGTCGAGGCGACCCGCGGCGAGCCTGAAGATGTTGCTCAATGGGATTATTATCGCACGTTCCCTAAAGTTGACTATACCGTTATGCGTGATGTTTTGTCCCATCCTAGTCATTTGGCACACTATTCTAACCTCGATACAGCTTGAGGCCCTCCGCCTATATCCCCGTGTAGTGACAGTACCTAAAAGCACGTCCGAAACCCAAGTCCCCTCAACTATCAAGGCAAGCAGTACCTTTTACCGCTGCGAGTCAACGTCAACCTAAACACAAATTGCCTCCATTATTCGGAAGCATATCGGGGCCGAGATGTTGCAACATTATATCCTCAAAGGTGGGATGCAAGAAACCAGAACAGCTTTCTAGCAAAGAATGCGTCGACACCAGGACTCGCTGCACCTGGTCTAGAGTATCCTACTATTCACAAACCGGTAAGCGGAGCATTCATCCCATTCAGCGACGGATTTCGGGCTTGTCTGGGAAAGAAATTTGCCCAGGCCGAATTAATTGCTGCGTTGTCGGTTCTTTCCAGGGATTTTAAGGTCGAATTGGCAAATGACAGCCCGGAAGCTCGTAAGGATGCGGAAAGAGTGCTGCGAGAGAGCACCTCAGTGTTGGCACTATCAAGGAGAGAGGATGTTCCACTGCGGTTTCAGAGGAGAAGTATGGTTTTATAGTCTGTATAGGCCCATCCTTCAGAGGTCAGGGCGGGGTAAAACATGAGATGATGGAGATATATATCTCCAGTCATACGAGAAAAGCGACCACACCACGGCACATTTCCTTACAACTAAAGGGCTGTCAAAGCCAGATATGCAAGTGTTCTATTCATCAGGCTATCGCATTCGTTAGGAAATCAAACACAAGAGGGTGATCCAGCCCTTGAGCCCGGCCCGCGACATTACAGCAAATGATACGTGGGGCGTCTGGTTTCTGTAGCTCAATATCGGTTCCATGTCTAAAAGTAGGCAGCTTGATCTAAGAGATCCAGACCCTCGCAGTTGTAGTATTGAACCACGTGCTATCATGCTGCCCTTGACTGTCGAGACAATCTACGAACATTGTGAGCCGTTGCTGGTATGTAGGTATGCTTCGGGTCTAGGAACCAATGATCTTGATCACCACTACTCGTACGAGGAAATGATCCAGCACTTAGATGATTCCTCATGTTTGCTCACGGAAAGAAGCTAGTGGTCATGACTGGCGAATGGGTAGCTTTATTGACTCCACGCTATTTTGCTTTTGTTTTCCCTTCCCGTGATAAATACATCCATGGACACCATAAGTAGCGTAGCCGAGCGTGATCGAAATCAAGTCCTGTCTAGCATCCCCGTTCTTCCAGCCAAGAAAGAAAAAGTTGGAACCCGTAGGAAAATAGTCCGATCAAAAACAGTCATGCAAATTTATCCCGTCACAGCACTAAATTAGTACTTCTTGCCCTGGCGCAGAACATCACTGAACTCCTCCAGAGGGCTCCGGATGAGCTTAGTCTCCTTCCACAGGTTGGGGGTGAGGAAGCCATAGGTGTTGACGACGGCAAGGAAGGTAGCCTTGAGGGTGTTCTCGAGGGTCTTGGTGGAACCGGAGGACGAGGTGTAGGCGTCCTGGACACCGGCAAGCTGGAGGAGACGCTTGACAGCGGGGGAGGCAACGAGACCGGTACCACGGGGAGCGGGGATAAGCTATTCTCGCGGTTAGACATGTGATATTCTGCAATACACAACTATCGCATTCGATCATAACGTACTCTGACGGAGACGGAACCACACTTGGCGCTCTGCTTGACGGGCAGAGAGTGAGGCTCACCGAGGTTGGTACCCCAGTAACCTCTCCGGACGGGCAGAACGCTGAGCTTGGCAATGATGATGGCGGCACGGATGGCGGTAGCGACTTCCTTGGAGGTCTTGATACCGAGACCGATGTGACCCTCGGAGTCACCGATGACAACGACGGCCTTGAAACGAGTGCGCTGACCGGCACGAGTCTGCTTCTGGACGGGCTTGATCTATAGTTTCAAAACCGTCAGCAACTGCCAGTTACCACCCCAGTATATCGCGAATATTCGCCCAATCCATCCATTCGAGAACCCAAATTCATTTTCCCATAGTCCACGAGTCTGTCATGCACAATTGCTCCCTAGAGGATATTCGCAAATGGAATTGTTCGTTTCGTACCTTCATGACCTCATCCTTGAGCTTAGGCAGGAAGAAGTCGACAATCTGGTACTCCTTGACGGGCAGAGAGTGCAGGTAGATCTGCTCCATGCTGGTGATCTTGCCGGCCTTGACGAGACGGCCGAGCTTGGTGACGGGCTGCCATTCCTTCTCCTCCTTTGGGCCGCCGCGACGACCACGACGACCACGGCCACGGCCACGGTCACCACCACGGTCACCGCGCGAGCCAAATCCTCCACGTCCACGGGGAGCGTCAGCCATTTTGTATGTTGATGGCGATTGAGAATGAACCGGGGGGAGAGGTGTAACGGACGGGAGGTGTCGTTCGGGAGGGGTTGTCGACGTCGAGGGTTGACTTTGCTCGCTATCCACAGCTGTTTTGGGCCCTACGGAAATTTCGCTGGCGGGTGTGCTAAGCGAGCCAACAAGCCCTACGAGCGGTAACCCTATGCCCTAACGGGTAGTCCCAATATGGTAAGCCGATTGAACCCGCATCATGTGACGGGTGGACACCACCCATTATGATGTTTATGATGCTTTTTCTCCAATAGTTTGCGGGCGTGGCGCTGATTTGTCCATGTTTTCCTGTTTGAGCACTGCGGTTACTAAATCTCCAAGCTGGGCTCCATTCTTCGTCTTATCGGTGAGAGTCTCGATACTTATCATCTGCTCCCCCATGTTTTTATTTTTCTGGCATTTCTCATTGTCGCCTTCTTCTTCTTCTTTTTAAAAGAAGTTTTTTCTCTCTGAAATCTATTTCCCCACCGTCGGTATCAATTGAATTCCCAAATAACTATTCTACATTCGAAATGTTGCGGTGGTACGTCTACATTCAAACGGCATCGCCGTTCAATTGACGGAGCTAAGATCTGTTCCAGGTATCAGACCAAGTTGGCTAAGCAGCCCATCCTCACAGCCAGCGTAACAAGTGCTGTATGGTTCCTCCTGCGACACTCGAAATGATTCCGGTTGACACAAGAATAGGTGCTATTTGGTTGCGGAGATATTCTGGCGCAGCAAGCTGTTGATCGTAAGGGCTTCGATAAGCACGACATGGCAAGAACTGGACGAATGGCGCTGTATGGAGGGGGTGAGTTCCTGGATACGGGATACGGACACCCGTCTTCCTCGAGTCTTAGTCGCGAGAGTCTGTTGCTAACATGAATATCTAGCGATCTTTGGACCGGCCGCGACCACATGGTTCGCCTTCCTCCAACGAAACGTTGTTCTGAAGAGCCACAAAGCTACGATAGTTGCGCGCGTTATCGCAGACCAAGGCCTCTTTACTCCTACCCACCTAACCTGTTTCCTGACATCAATGGCAATCATGGAAGGCACGGACCCCATCGAGAAATGGCGTACCAGCTTTCTTCCCAGTTACAAGGCGAACCTCACTATCTGGCCTCTAGTTCAGGGCGTCAACTTCTCAATTGTGCCTCTAGAGTATCGGGTCTTGGTAGTCAACGTGGTCAGCTTGGGTGAGTTGTGTCCAGCTCAATCATCTCGCTTTCACTCCGCTAATACGTCTGGACCAGGCTGGAACTGCATATTGAGTTTGATCAACAGCGGCGAGAAATAATGTCCTTACGATTTGGAGCATTTCACGTCAGGATACCCCTTTCTGTACAACTAACATTTATCTTTTGGTCGGTTTCTTTTTTTCTTGCTGGTTTGATAGAGGGTTCATTTCACTCATTGTGTGGGCGCAGTGTTTTAGACTTTCCTCGGTACAAGCGCAGCAATATCTACTTATGATTCTTACAATGCTTAGATTATGAGGCTGGTCGTTTTGAGGTTTTTTAACGATTTATAATGCCGGTTTCTCACAAGGTCATAGGAGTTTCTGCGAATCTCATTCATATTTAACTTAGATTTGGTTCGCTTTCACCTTAGAAATAGAACGAGTATATCTATATGAGATCAATATCTAGCTTCACTAGGATATCACTTGAACATCAAGATTGGCTTGATAATAAGATGGATGTTCTTACAGCCAACTCTTTGTTAGGGTTCAGTCTGGGCGGCAGCCTATTAAAGGCCTAGAAAGGGGGCGAGTCCCAAAAGGGTAAAGTAGCACTTTCAAGCTGCGGCATCTCCAAACGCTTCAAAACTTCATCATTATTATTTTCGCAGACTGCAACACCGCCAACACACGACTACCGCTGTGATTCTGCCTGGAGCAGACAACAAACGACTGCGTGATCCCCGCGCATAAGCCGATTCTCCTCCGCCTCTACCATCTCGGACTTTCGCCTCTGGATCGCTCCTTCCCCGCGACCCTGTCAAAAATTGACTCTCACACCAAGACTTTTCTTCGCCCCTCCGACAACTAACGTATATCTCTCTCTCTCTTCCCCGCGCTCAAAGTTCGATCGACCGAGACTCTTACGAATTTTCTTTCTTCTCAGATTCATATACCACAATCATAATGGCTGAAGTCGCAGAGAACGGTCCTGTACCGGTGAACGACGAGAACACCGCTCCTGGCGCCGCTACCGAAGAAAAGGAGCAGACCAAGAAGACCGAGCAGACAAATGGCGATGCTGTTACAGTGTTCCATGACCCCGAAAATTTCAACGTGAAGCATCCACTCATGCACGAATGGACTCTCTGGTTCACGAAGCCCCCAAGTGGCAAGGTACGTGCGATAGCCAGCGATGTAATGGTAGACATGCTAACACCGCTTGATTTGCAGGGCGACAACTGGAACGACCTGTTGAAGGAGGTCGTGACTTTCAACTCGGTTGAGGAATTCTGGGGTATCTACGTACGTCATTTCATTATCGACAACTGACTGGTGAGCTATACTGACTAGGTGTTACTGGATAGAACAACATCACACCGACTTCTGAATTGGGTCTCAAGGCAGATTACCATCTCTTCAAGAAGGGCATCAGGCCAGAGTGGGAAGACCCCAGAACAAGCACGGTGGCAAGTGGTCATACTCGTTCAAAGACAAGCGCTCCGTACCGATCGATGATCTTTGGCTTCACGCTCAACTGGCAGCTATCGGCGAGACCCTTGAGAACGATGGCGACAACGAGGTTATGGGTGTGGTCGTGAACGTGCGCAAGGGATTTTACCGTGTTGGTCTGTGGACACGGACGGTGGGCAAGAGCATTCCCGGCGACAAGAACGGCCGGACACCCGCTCAAGGAAAGGAGATCCTCGAAAACATCGGTCGGCGCTTCAAGGAGGTGCTACGCCTGAAGGAAGCCGATGTCGTTGAGTTCTCGGGGCACACGGACAGCGCACACAGCGGTAGCACTAGAGCTAAGGCCAAGTACACCGTTTAAACGGCCATTTGCATGGATACTCATATCGATTTACGATTGACAAGAGGGACGTCTCTTCGGCGTTAATGAGATGATTCTGTAATTACGGACGATGACGAATGAAGTGATAGCTTGAGGGACAGAATATCCGGGGAGACGACACCTCACATCTGGATTTTCAGCATTTTCCTTCGATGGCTTTCTTGTGGCAACTGGCGATGTGTACCGTATCTTATCCTCAAAACGCATTTCTGACGAGTTTATACCATTATATCTCTGGGTCCAAGGAAGGAAGAAGAAAAGATTATAAAAAAAAAAGCGTCTTTATTTCGCATTTTGTCCTCAAAGTGTGGTGCTGATTTTGAACAGCTCTTATAGATAGTCGATACCGAATATGTTAGTAATGATTCCATTATCATACTTCTTGCCTTCTAAAAATTCATGCAGTGAGCCTCCCAACACCCGTAATTTCCTTGAGATGGGAGATTATAGGAGTAGCAATAGGCAGTATCTCGACTGCAAGAAGTAAAGGTACTGATGCCGGAGACGGGCAGCAGGAAGCCTGATGTTCTAAGTATGAATTATTCCAGAAACTGCTTCTTCACGAAAGAGTTCGTCTGCCAGCCCTACTTATCTTCCTCCTTCTCCATCCCAGTACATTTCCCTCCATCGCCGTCAACCTACCCTGACCCACAACTGCTTGGCCTGTTGTACAGTTGTTATCAATCCTCTCTCCCCATCTTGTTGCCCTTGACGTGATCATGAGACCAACTATCAGGTCCCCATGCGCTTCGTTTTTGCCTTTTTCGTCGTCGTTCAACCCAGATGTATACACTCCCGGAGTGCCTTAGGTGATCCACAGTGGCCTTTTTTGTTTTTTTCTCTCTTCTCAGGGTAGATGCGTAAACCAAGGCCGCTTAGATGTCTATTTGTTCACTATCTGGAGTCTTGTTAGCTTGGCTGGTGTGTGGGTGCGTGTTCAGATTCACATTGGTTTATATTGATTATTAGATTGTTTGGACAGTTCCTCCGTAGTAAGTGTAATTAACTTTTACATTGTCTCTGAGTTTCTTGATAAGATTGACGTATACGGATGGCCATATGTGTGCTTTTCTCGGTTCGGATTCAATGTGACGGTGCTGGTGTGCTGGGAGACAATATATATCTTCACGGTGGAGACCGTTGTAGAAAACCATTAGGATTCAGATCACATAATTTTCTATCTGTTTGATTGCGCTTATGCCACGTATAGAGGCGATTCATGGTACACAGGGAGAAATAAGCTGATATACGCAGGCAATTATGAGGATCATATGTTGGAGGAATAGTAGCCCTCCTTGGCCGCCTCGTCAAAACCGTCTACGACAGGTCCTGTATCCAGTTTCCTGTCCGGTCTCTAACCCGTTTTCTTACATACCAGAACGGATTGGATGTGATCATGTTAATCAGTCTCTCCGTGTTCAAGGAATGCCAAGCTGATGTAAGAGAGTCGAGGGAACGTATACTCTGCCGAGTGCGCGGGATGGATTGGGGCATTACGATGATTGAGAGGCTGACATGCACGTATGGCTCTTGCTACGGAATTTAGAAGCAGATCATGTCCTACTCAAGTTCCTTTATTATTCAACTACAAGTAGGCAAAGTCGCACTTCAACTGATGCGATTACCACTGCCCCGATGTCGGACAGTGGCTGATATAAAATAATGACTCACGGGGTCTTACTCCAACTACTCCAAACACTGGCGATATCGACGAGTACCCTGCAGAAGCACCCACAGCCCTATGAACTGTAGGGGAGATCGGTGTCGAAGCAGGCATATCGCTGAAGACAATTGAGCAACAGGTGAACCCAAGCTGGTGGCAGGACGGACAGCATGCTCCGTACTACAGAGCCAGAAGCTTGAACACCAGCGATTGCTTATTCACAAGCGGCATGAATAACTTACAGACAGCTGGCAATGACTCAGTGATTCGCCGATCAACATTCGATGATCGTGATCGCGGTGGAGGTCCGGACAGTGGATCCGTGAAACTGAATCGTTAGCATAGTCGACAACTGCGCTTCGTATCCGTGAGTCAGTAGATGCGATTGAGGAGCATTCCATGCCTTCAGTGTACCGTCTCTGAGCTCATGGGTAAAGTATGGCGATATGCTGCCAGGTTCGTAGTCAAGTTGTTGCCCATCTTTTTTTAGATGTCAACAGGACAGTCAACGCCGAGCGTCGTCAAGAACTCTGCTCCGGCCATTCAACATCTATAGTCGAAGCTCAAAAGCTGACTTGCTGATCACTTGGCAATTTGCATCAGAGCGGACATCGCGAAATGCCACATGGCTGCAAGGTCGTGCCTGATGCTAAGGCTACCTGGAGTAAAACAACACCCCATCATACTTGCACTCCGGTCCAATCAACAAAATGTTATGGCCTAGAGATCGGCATGGACAGTTGTACTCTGCCGTTGAATTAGACTCATAGCCAAGAAGTCAAGAAAGCCCAGAGTCTTGGGATTCTTGGAGGTTTGACAACCCCAAGCACGCCATCGACCATCGTGCCGGTGTCGGTGTGTACATGCTACCGGGTCCTCAGCACGCCGTTGCCTCTACGCTGGCACCGAATGATCCCTCAGAGCGCCAATTGGTCTAGTCTCAGCACACGAGACTATCAGCTGGTTGTTGCCTCAACATAGAGTTGGCTTGCGCCGCCTCCCTTCACGCTGATAGGCAGCTATCACGCCCTTCGGGGGAAGATGGCCGCCGCCAGACTTGGCTCGCTGGAGTCACCAAGGCGGAAATACACCGGGGAGCATATTCGGGTGAGATATCACGAGGAGCTCTTGCATTGGGTGGAAGTGATGGCTACTATGTAGCTAAAGTTGGGTGAGACACGGAGCGATGACGGAACGGGTCCTCTGACCTGAGGGCGAAGTCGGAGCGAGAGCGGGCTGGCAGATAAGGCTTGAATACTTAACCCGCCAGGTCGCTGCCTCTGGCCAGGACACTGGAGCTTGTTCTGGGCTCTTGATGATTTTAGTGACAAAATTTTTATTTTCTGTTTGTTTCTTCGCACAATAGGGAAAAAACATCCTGGGACCAATTTCTCAATTGACCCTCCCTGCTTGGTCGTTGACCAGAGCGAGTTGGACTTGAACAAAGACGCTCAACCAACCACCACCCACTGACACTATGGCAATAATAATTAGGAGTCTAGGTACTGGCAACGCTTAGCAATGATCAGACCCCCTTTTCATGGTCTTTCTGACTGCGCGGTCTGAACCGATCGGTGGCCCGATGGAACTCCAGCTCCACCTCTTGACGCCTCAACCAGGGCCCCTGGCTACTAAGTCGCCGAACGAGATGGACAGAAAGAGACGGGACTGCATGGCCTCATCCCATCAGGAATCGGTATGTCTGTCCAATGTCGAAATACTGAGAGCATGAATCGCCAAAGTGGCGACAATGACCATTGGCTGTTAAAGGCCGTTGAATGGGGCATGATACGAGATGACTGATCTCTCTCCGCAACCTGGGGTAACATTGCGAGCGGAAGACCAACGGATTATGGAGTTGATTATGGAGCATTGAAGCTTGAACTACCTACTTTCACAAGCTACAGGTTCCTCCCCCAGCTGGAACCCAGCAATGAGAAGTCCAGACTCTGAGACCTGACCACTTACAACCGATGCATAACGAATCCCAACAGATAGCCCCGAGTATCTCGAGCCGAGTCGGACGGCTCACTCGGTTATCAATGGATGCTGACAGGGAGATATGTGTCTTGGGAAATGATTAGCATGCGGGGGTGCCCCGACGTTACACACGCGCACACGATCAAGTGGTGTCATGATGATCCATTATCCATCGTACAGGGGCGGGGGAAATGCGAGATTCGACGGGAGACACTGGACGTGGAAACCGTCAACCCCAGACCTCGACGAGTCCAAAAGTGACCGTGAGACGTTTGGAGCTTCGATTGGACGATTGCAATCCCTCATTGGATGCTACGAATGGGAGTTGCCGTGCCTATCATCCAGGGTGGAAGGAAACCCTGCTGCTACCCCTGGTCAGCGACATTTATGTTACCTAATTACCGGATGCGGTATCTCCCCCGGTGGCAATATCAGTCCAATCATCCGACGAACAGGAGAATGGCTATTTCGCAATTTCGACGCACGCACTTTTTAGTCGGATAAACCACGGCACAGAAACAACCGAGGCCAGTTTCTGCGGAACAGTGATATCCGGGTTTTTGAACTCCAAGCTGGTGATGTACCTTATTCAAAGGTTTTAGAAAAAAAAAAAGGAGAGCAAAAAATACATGCAGAACCATGAATTGGATTTACCATGAAGAAAACCTTGTTTTTTCCATTTCTTTTCCTTTTTTATTTTGGCTCTTGTGTGAAAACTTTTTGCTTGCGGATATTTCTTGACTGCTGATAACGGATGTACGGCTGCGAGCAACTTGCACAGTGGGCAATATAGCCACGAGGGCGAACAAAGATTTCGTGTGGTTCCATCGGTAAGCTCCGACCGGATGAGCAAGCTGATTGGGTGAATCCACTTGTGCCACCGACCTTCGAGAAAAGATCAGAGCGACGCCCAGCTCCCGCAGCCAATCAAACGGCGAATTGGCCTTTGCTCGGCTGATGCTTGACACTGCTTGTCATGTCTTCACTGGATTATGAGGTTACATTGGCCGGCCCGCCAAGACCATTTCGGCCTTTCCTTTCTCAGATTTCGCCTGCCACACTGTTCCAGTTTCCGGTGTCCAGCGTCCACAGGTTCTCAGACACACAAGCGACGGGGAGATTTTTGAAGTCTCCGCCGATCGCGCAATTGAAGGTTCGCGGCTCGTCTGATTGAATGAATCAGAGATAAGACCGGTCCCGCATTGGCCCTCATTTCCCTCCCTCCAGCGCGAGTATAAGGTCGGTCTCCTCCCCTCCTCTGCTTCCTCCTCGCTCGATACTCGTGAGGACACAACAAGCCTTTCAACTCCTTCCCTCACCACACGGCTCCGGCAGTCCTTGCTTGGTTTCTCTTTGCAAAATGTCTACCAGAGATCACGAGGTTGAGGCTACTCAGTAAGTCTTGCTGGCACTCCTACACCTTTTCACCATATCTTTCCCGCCGTCACATGTGCAAATTTTCTGACTCCGCTTGTCTTCAATAGACCTCACCTGCAGGACAATGTCGTCTCCGAGGTTGCTCTGAACGAGAAGGACCCGTATGCCGTGGAAAAGGCTCCCTTAGAAACCCCCGATGGCGAGGAGCCTACTGCGGAGGAGGCCAAGAACCTCCGTCATATCGCCGAAAACTTGCCCGTCTCCGCCTGGCTTGTGGCTATTGTCGAGTTGTGCGAGCGTTTCACCTACTACGGCATGTCAGGTCTGTTCCAGAATTATGTGAACAACCCTCTGGACGGTAGCAAGGGTCGCGGTGCTCTCGGTCTGGGTCACCAGGGTGCCACCGGTCTGACTACTTTCTTCCAGTTCTGGTGCTACGGTGAGACATGTCATACCCGAACTTCAAACAGCGACGAATTTACTGACATAATTGGATCTAGTCACTCCTATTCTTGGTGCCATTATTGCTGATCAGTACCTCGGAAAATACAAGACAATTGTGCTCTTCTGCGGCGTGTACCTGGTCGGTCTCCTGATCCTGGTCTGCACTTCGATCCCTACTGCTCTCGAGCACGGTGCTGGTCTTGGCGGTTTCATTGTCGCCATTCTGGTCATCGGTCTGGGAACAGGTGGCATCAAGAGTAACGTTGCGCCCCTGATTGCCGATCAGTACAAGCGCAAGAAGATGGCTGTCTCGACTACCAAGAAGGGTGAGCGGGTCATCATTGATCCTGCCCTGACCATCCAGCGTATCTACATGATCTTCTACGGTTGCATCAACCTTGGCTCTCTGTCTCTGCTGGCTACTCCTTACATGGAGCGGGACATTGGCTTCTGGTCCGGATACCTGCTCTGTCTGTGCATGTTCGCCTGTGGTACCCTGGTGCTCATTGTTGGACGCAAGTACTACGTTGTTCGACCCCCTCAGGGCTCTATCATTACCGACGCCTTCAAGGCTATCGGAATTATGATCGCCAACCGCAAAATGGATGCCGCCAAGCCCAGCTGGCAGGCTGCCAATGGTGGCAACAGACCCAACCTGCCTTGGGACGACCACTTCATTGATGAGCTCAAGCGTGCTCTGGTTGCTTGCCGTGTCTTCTGCTTCTTCCCCATCTACTGGGTTGTCTATGGCCAGTTCTCGGGTAACTTCGTCACCCAGGCCGCGCAGATGCAGGGCCACGGTATTCCCAACGATCTGATGCAGAACTTTGATCCCATCTCGATCATTGTCTTCATTCCCATCCTGGAGACCCTGGTCTATCCTCTGATGCGCCGGTTGCACATCCGCTTCCGTCCCATCACTCGTATCTCCCTGGGTTTCGTCGTTGCCTCTCTTGCCATGATGTACGCCGCTATTGTGCAGCACCTCATCTACTCTGCCGGCCCTTGCTACGACCAGCCTCTCTGCGACGCCTCTAAAATCGATGGCACTGCTCAAGGCAACCGCGTCCACATTGCCATCCAGACCCCTGCCTACATGTTCATCGGTATCTCGGAGATTTTCGCCTCCGTGTCCGGTCTGGAGTACGCCTACACCAAGGCTCCTCCTTCGATGAAGTCGTTCGTGCAGTCCATGTATCTGCTCACCAATGCCTTCGGTTCCGCACTGGCCGAGGCCTTGACTCCCGCCGCCTTCGACCCCGCCATCATGTGGATGTTCGTCGGTCTGGCCTGCGCTTCGTTCTTGGTCGGTATCATCTTCTGGTTCGTGTTCCACCACCTCAACGCCCAAGAGGACGACATGAACAAGCTCGATGCCGACGACCCGGATGTTCCTCCTCCCCGCGTGCACGAGGAGAAGAACTAGACCGGGTTAGGTCTATGTCTTTGATTCCCCTTTTCATTTCTCTACTGTATAGTAATGTTTCTCTTAATGTTCGGATAACCGCAGGACGAGGTCTATTTTGTGACTCGCGCGGGCACGCGTAACAGCACCTGCTGAGCAGATCTTAGCGATGAGATAGATGTAAATAAATGAGACACGTTCTGATGACGTCTTCCTCGTATTTTGTGATGATAAGTAGCTCTCCGCATTCTTGCATCCTATTGTACTACACTCCAATCCCACATGGCAAGCAAGCACGCGACCACGACATTCACACCGAGGAGAGTTGGCCCACAAGAGACCGTTATTACAGTCGGTCAACAAAATAAGTATGACAGAAAACAATAACAAATCAGACTCTGGGTCCACTGATAAGTCCTCCGCTCCGTACTCGTACCTCCCTTAACTCAGAAGAAAGTGAAATGAAACCAGGACATGGCACGGTGTGGACCCCCTGTCTCTCTACTAGTAACACTCTACTCCGTACCTAGGAATTATTAATGATTATTCAGCCTAAGTACAGCTAGACCATCCCACACTCTCAGAAATTAATCCTTTCGTGGAATGGCTACGGAACAAAGGCGACTCATGCCTTGACTGATTAAGCTTAGCTTGGCGCAGGGTCTGGGTCGGTGGGACTCGGTGGATCGGGGGTTTCGGAGGTCGAGGCCCGTTCTGGTTAGGGGGTTTTTGGTCGGGGCGGCCCGTGGGTCGAGGGCTGCATTGGAGTGTGCAGAAAAAAATCAAATATGGTGGCTGGATTGCCGATTGCCGTTGATTTGATGGGACTGATGGAAATGAAATAATCATGAGGAAGTAGTTTGTGGGTGTACTCAGTAATGAGGTTGCATATTTTGCCGGGGGATAATTGCTTTGAAGTTCGAGTAGGTTGTGAATTGCTACTTTATTGGAAGGACGGATGCCTTTGCGCTGCGGGTGTTCAGTGTGTAACTCTGCATTGCTGATATGCAGTCTGGTGTCTGACTCCACTTCGGACTTAAGTATGGGTGCTCCGTACTAGTAGATGGAAATATGGAGTCCCACGGAGCACAGAGCATCCAGGTACAACGACTTTCTTGCGACAAGAATCAATCGCCTGGCGCTGGAGTCAAGCTATTGAGTTTACTCAAACACGTAAAGGTTAGGCTAGTCTACGCTGATGGTGTCCGAAGAGACGCATTTTTGACAGTTTGTCGAGTACACCTATCTTCGGTTGCTCTTGATGGACGTCCGAGATTGGACACAGCTGCAAGAATCCTACAATTTCCAACACAGCTGGGATGGTCCAGCACTAGATGGAGGTTCGGGAAAGGTCTCGTTTAGTTTAGTTCTAGCCGACATTGAGAACAAGTCAAAGGTTCTGAGCTTGCTATCGTCAAAACTCATCAGCAGACGATATTCAATGACTTCACCTTTTAACACCTCTTGTCAATTAAGATAGTTCATCTCGGACCAAGCTAATAACCTGGAGCGTAAAGCCTCTGACTTCAGGACTTACATTGGGAGAATGCTCTCCAGCTCACGCCCTGGATTCTTAAAGTACGCAATGCATCTGACCGATCCCCTCACTGCAGCGACCAAACATAGCGCAGCAATGGCTGCCACTCAGCGCGGAACCGCTGTTGTTCTTCTTCATCACCTTCAATGCGTGGTGGTCCGTTGAAATGTGCAATGAGCCGGTTCTTATCTTGTACGGACAGAAGATTCAGCAATGTCGCTTTATCGAAACCATGTTCCACTCCACTCTCCGTCTCATACTTGGGGATGGATTCAAGTGCATTGATGACGCTGATTATCGTATGCTACCGCGTCATCCTTGAATGCCTTGACCCGAATGCTCTCGAGGATAAGTCGTACGCGGTCCATCGAGCGCCAAAGACACGCCCGCGTCGGTCGCTGTGATACGTCACGCAGTCAGAGCACACCGGCAAGATTACGTCCTCTGGGTCGTGGTTCGATTCAAGGTCCAGCACGACGACCCATCCGCCACGAGCCTCGTCACCAGACTTGAAGGCACTCGCGTTCTGTGGGTCTACGAGCAGAGGTTGGTATCCTCCCAAAAGGCCTTGGACGTACTCCTTCGTGAAAGTTTTTTGGATGGCTCCTTCAAGATGCAAGATCACAATATCTGGCTTGATGATTTGCACCTCGAGAACGGCACCGCTTATATTGGATGTTCGTGGTCCGGTCCGATATTCTGTTTGCCGCGGCCTCTTTTGAGGACGGCCATGAAGAAGAACGGCAGGCTGACTCGGAGATCAATGTGAAGGAACTCCTTGGATAGGGGCAGACATTCGGGTTTCTTACTACGTAGAAAGCGTAGGAAGATGCACTCCAATTGCTCACGACGGTAGTAAGAGCGCTTTCCCAGCACCGCGCCCCTTTCGTATGGGAGATCTGGTAACCGTTCGGCGTCCACACGGAGGTGTGCAGCGGACCATCTTTCAAATTCAGTCAGAGACTCCTTCCACAGGTCCCTTCTGACGGTTGTAAGACTCTTCGGACTTGTCGGAAGGTGGAAGTGAGCATGCTCGAGCTGCGCTCCGTGAAGGCTGGTCGCTAGCGCAATCGGAACGGCCACAATAGTGACGTATGCCGACAATGAGGACAGCAGGTTATCGGACGCCATGATAAGTGATCTTGTCTGCCAAAGACCATTGTCAGGCTCTCGATGAGCCAGGTACCCCACAGGCTTTATCATACCTGCCGCGTAATTGAAAGGAGGCTATGATGAGCTTGGCTGATAGTAAGCAGCCCTGGATACTGTGGCTGAATCTACTTGCTTCTTAGAAAGGGAGTCCTCCAGCCATCGGCACTTCGGGACACGAAGGTGAAGCCATGACCTTTTGCTCGACGAATGGTTTCAGCTAAGCGCCTATAGACCAAGGCAAGCCTGAAAAATGCGGTCAGGCGCAGTCCTGTTTCAGTGGCCATTGGTTCTGATACACTACTGTATCGGATATGTGCAGCTCATGGGCTGGGAGCATCGTGGCAATATGAGGAAGCTCCTAGCGAGCCGAGTTTTGGATGTCAATCCGTCGGGGAACGACAAAAGAGTGCCGTTGCATCGCGCTGTTGAGACGGGTAATCGGGCTTGTCTACTTGCTCCTCGAACACAAAGCCGACGCGAACGTGAAAGACGGGAAAGGACAGACGCCACTCCAACTCCTTTGCTCAAGTAAGTCAGAGGAGGACATGATCTCACGCAGTCAAAGGGATGCACAAGATGACGCGGATGACGGCCAATATTGTGGTGCTCGAGGCATGCGGTGTGTAAGTTTGTGACCAGAGAGAGAAGGCGGAACATCAAGTGCGGTCTGGAGCAGGAAGAGATGTTCCAGGTTCTCGTTGAGCACGGTGCAGACATGACACTTGCTGACAATCAGGGACGCACTCTTCTGATGATAGCCTGTGAGCAGGGAAATTCTGTAATCGTTGCCGATATACTTTACGGCTTGGGAATCAAGTGGCTCGCGGAAATGTCCGACGAAGAAGCCGAGCGCACTACCATCGTCCCGTTCGCTCACTCTAGGGGCTTCATACAGCGGGAATGAAGCGTCTCGCAGGCGTTATCAACGGGACCGACTGCCCAGGAAAGAACGCAATCCACGTTGCTGCAACAAATGGTGACATCTGCACACTCAAACGCTGCCTAATCCAGAACAGGTCTTTCCTCCGACGCCCAACTTGTGGAGGGAATTGGGCGAAGCAGGTGAGATCCATGAGAATGAGGCATGGAACAAGAATATTGAGTCTCCTGCAGAGCAAAGAACAAGATACAATACCGGGGAAGTCAGCTCGACCTTCCGTCCTTTCTTCTAAAGCACTGCGTTTATACGGACGATATGGACGAGCCTAAGGAGAACAAGTTGACGATTGGAGGGCCCCGTCGCCGGGAGATCAAAAATATACATTTTCCCAACGTGTTTTGTGTCGGTGTGGGAATTGGAGGACGAGGAGGAACCCTTGTTCGTCTCGAAGGGGAGGTGGATCATAAGGGAAGGACTCCCCTACACAATGCCGCAGAGAGTGGACATTTGGAGGCAGAGAAGCTGCTTTTTGAAGTAAACGATTATATCAATGCGCAAGCGAGGGACAGTTCTGGCAGAGGAGCCATAGATTTGGCATTGGATAACAACTTCTATGATGTCTTTAATGGGCTCCAAGATTGAAGAATTAGCGTGGTTTTGTATTTCACAAAGACCTCAATATAGTACATTGTTCTCCATGCCTCATGATTCAGGAAGGAACCATGATCAGCTTAGTCAAGCTGGGATACAAGCCACAGCATTGAGGCTGCGTGCTAAGCCATTTTGACAACTGGCGATCGTTGCTAATTATAAGCTGACCCAGGCAGAATCGTAAGTCAATGGCCATTCATTTGTGAGTATTTTGTGTTTTGGAGACTGAGCCCACATGTTGCCAATAGGTGGGCCTAATACTTGCCACGACAAAAGACATGCAGGTTGCATATGATCTGGCGAAATGATAGGAGAGAAGAACCCGGATAGTCAAAACATAATTGAACTGGCAATACGCAATTTTTTTGATGTTTTGTACCCGCATATTTGAGCTATTTTGCTGTGGGGTAACGGCGTGCAACGGTGCAAGGGACTTGTGTGGGATGCTGGGGATAGATCGAGCTATTCTTACCAAATGAATTGCACCAGAATATCCGTCTATCTCATAGCTTATTTTCCTTGATATCGAACGATAGAACCAGCAAGGACTATTGGTCGGTAGATACGACCTACCTTAGGCGCCTGTGTCCAGGTAATAATAAAAGCGGAACCACCAACGTAGCCAGTTTTCTGGAAACAATTGCTGAACCTCTGATGGTGCTGTTGACCAAATGTATGCATAACGATGACGTGCAGACTCAACGCCTCCGTAGTCGATACTTTTCGGTGGAATTGAAGCGCAATCCGTACCATTATCAAGGATCCCAACGAACCGGCTCTCCTACACCGTGGACATGCCGGAAATGGTAGGTAATATTCGGATGCGCGGGAAATGTCACCAGCATATTGCACAGCCTGAGACGAGAAACGAGAGGGTCAATGCCTGAGCAGGCAACCATAATTCTCTAAGAAGAGAAGGAGGACCGGAGGGTAGGTAGTTGAATAGCTTCAAGTAAATAGACAGATATGCGCAGGTAGACCCCTCTATCAAGCTCGTCAAAAGGTGAAACCATGGCCTGTCTACCCATCACCACTAGCTTCCGACCGTGATGTTTCACAACTATTGATTTGGTCTCTCAAACCGTGAGCCAGGGAGAAAAGGGGACTTGACGATCACCCACTTTGGTCTGTGCACCAGCCAGCAGCCCCTATATGATTATTATCATTCATCACCATCAATGAATTTCAAAACAAATCAAAAGTAGTTACGAAGCTAGCTTCCAGTATCAGCCACATTCCCACAAACGATATTCAAGAACGAGGGAAAGTGAACGAGCACAGTAGCAGTAATAATCTCATTCTCAACCGCCCTCATCACTGTTTTCTATGAATAGTTGTCAATCGAGCTTCTGTAGTACCCATAAGCGCCTGATCGTCATAACTTTTCTTCCTTTAATACCTATCTATTATTGCCGTCCTGCGGGTCCAGAACTTTGCCTACTGTCAGCTCCGAAGGAAATCAGAGCCAACCCTTGGCACCTTTGGGAATTGAGAGAGCGCTTCTGCTTGCCTTTCCGCCCGCGACTGTCCGCCTCAGCCGCGTGTCTCACTGTGTCATTTCGTCCCTTTCTTCAATCGTTCATTTTTTTGCCTTCGACATATTCACCCCTCCCACTTCTCTTTTGTCATCCTCATTTTCCATTCTTTAATTCTTTCTCTTCGCTCCGTTACTGTACGCTGCTTTAGTGACTGTCGGCGAATTCGGGTTAAGCTCTTGTCCCTCGCGCATTTGGACAACCTCCTGAATTCCGGAACCGCAGTCGCCCTTGCACCAGAGGAGACGAAGAACAGCGACCGGATCATAATACAACCCATATCGGGTTCAAGCGAGAAAAGGCAGCTTATTTATTCAACTCTGTGCTTGCATATAGTAAATTCTGACATAATTACATCATGAGTGTATGCTCTGAATGGCTACCCCTTTCCCTGGCGAATGCCCCAAGCGCAAAACTCTTATGCTGACTTTCTTCGCTATTTTGAAAGTACGCGGACTACAACAACAACTCTCAGGGTGGCTACGGCCAGTACAACCCTTATGGTGGCCAGCAGCAAAACAATGCCTACGGCGGCCAACAACAAGGCTACGGCCAGGCCCCTACCAGCAAGCCAACAACATGGAGCAGGGTAATGGTAGCTATGGTAGGACTCCTCATGGCCTCGGGTCGAGCGCATGTCTCTAATTCGCGTTGTCTCCTACAGAAATGTCCGCTATGGGTGGCCAGCAGCAGCAGCCATCCGGCCCGACCGCTTTGCTGAACAAATGCAAAGAAATCAACGATGGTATTGCCGATCTGCGCGCCAAGAGAGAGAGCCAGCTCGCCGCCGCACAGAACGCTTTGCTTGACTCGAGTACCGGAAAGGAAGATCAGGCCTCCCGTCAGACACTCGATTACATCGAAGACGAGATCAACAACGGTTTCCGTTACCTCCGGGACCTCCTCAAAAAGGTCAAGCAGACACCTGGCTCTGGAGACACCCGTGTTCAGACTCAGATCGATGTCACCAGCCGGAACTTGCGTCGGGAGATTGAGCAGTACCAGAGAGCCCAGTCGGATTTCCAGAAGCGGTTGCGCGAGCAGGTGCGCCGACGATACGAGATCGCAAACCCAGAGGCTTCTCCCGAGGAAATCGAACAGGGTATTGACAATGTTCTGATGGGCCAAGAGCAGAGCTTCCAGGTACGAGAGAATGGCTCATCCCCAATATCTAGGACAAGTGCTGATTTGCTTGTGATAGGTTACCGGTAGCAGAACCAGACAGGCCAATGACGCCAGACAAGCTGCTTTGGAGCGGTCCGCCGCTATTCGAAAGATCGAACAGGACATGATTGAGCTGGGCCGTTTGTACCAGGAAGTTGCAGAGCTGGTGCATCAGCAAGATGCTGCTGTTGAGCAGATCAACCAAGGCGCCGAAGATGTTGTCGACAATGTCCAGAATGCGAACACCCAGATTGATCATGCCATCAAGAGCGCGCGCAACGCCAGAAAGTGGAAGTGGTATGCGCTGCTCATCGTCAGTACGTATCATCTTTGGCCTCAGTGTAAAAGCATCCAGCTGACTTACTGTTACCCTAGTTCTGATCATTGCCATCGTTGTCGGTGTCGCTGTTGGTGTCACCCAGGCCAACAAAGCGTAAAATGGCCATGCTTGAAAGATGCTTGCATCAAATGGCTTGCAGAATACGTTTGTCGGCTGCTTATGATCCACTCCGCGCTCGGAAATCTGCGTCGCTACATCAGGCTTCTCGATATCCCCTTATCTCGCCATCTGCGCTATCCTTTCGCTATACATGGTCCATGCAATGCGGAAGCGACAGTCGATAAATTTGGCGTGGCATCAATAATCCGATGCCTGTTCCGCTTCACTCATCCATCCGAGCTGCACAAAGACCGTTCATTTTTCCCCTCGAGATTTCCTAGTGTACTTTCTTATACCACTCAGTCGCATTCTCCTCTGTTTTAATCCTGTCTGATATTTGTCTCCTTGTTTTGAAAAAGCACGGCAGCTTGCGAGTTCCTTCTCCATATCACCTTGGCTCCCCCGCCCCCTTGCGCTTTTTGTATCTCCGGGTCGTGTATATCTGCTTCGTGTCCGATGATATGCGACTTGATGGTCCGTCGCTGCTCTTGACTAGGATACGCATGATGCTGTCGTACATGTACATATTAGATTTTCTCCTCGTTTTACTGCCGTTGGTCCTAGAATCTATGTAATAATCGAACTCTAATTCATTACGAAAGTATAGATATATACAGAGAACCTTACCCAGTCACCGATTCGGGTCTATCAACCCAGAATATCCGTAACAGCCACCAGACCTCGACCGCAGCATACCACTGCCCTACGCCTGCGACTGTCTAGACTTCTCCCGCTCCTCCTCCTCCGGCGTCCTCGTCCGCAACTGCAAAGCATGGATTCCGCCCTCGCGGCTGATCTCATCCTTAAGCAGAGAGTAGACCATCCGATGCCGCGCAGGCTGCATCTTCGACTGAAAAGCAGAGGATGTGATCGTGACACTGTACACATACGCATTAGCCGCCGCCATCCCTCGCTTCTTTCGCAACAATGCAACGGGTGCCGTCGCAGACATACTGGAAATGCGTCTCTTTCGAAGTTACGCCTTGCATCGGGGCGTGGTGCGCGTGCAGGTGCGAGTCATTGCGGATTATGAGGGTTGAGGGGGAGAAGGCGGCTGTTATCTGTGTCGAGGGTCGGGTTAGTTAGGGGTTTGTCTTCAAGAATGCAGGATTGTCGATGTGCTCTGTGCTCCGTACCCTCTCGCGGATCGTATCCTCCATCGGGGTCGCGGAGGTGGATGACATTCTGGATGGGAGGGTGGTTCTGAGTGGGGAGAAAAGACGGCGGGAGAGCAGGCCTGGTCGGCTGCGGAGGGGGAGCATTGACGGTAACCCTAGTTGGGGAGTCTGAGAGGTGAGGATGGGTGAGTGAGAGGTTTCTCTTGCGGAAGATTGATGATGGTCTTGCTTGACTCCGGGGTTGTAAATTGTATGGTCGGCTCCGGTCTGGGCCTGTGACGCCAAAATGCTGTTTTGGGGATAGCGTTTGTGGAAGATGGTTTGCGCCGCGATGTCCGCGGAAGTGGGATTCGGATGTAATTGTCTGCTTTGTTGTTGTACTAGTTTCCCGGAACGATTTTATAGGAATTGGACCTTGCGAGATGTATGGACTCGTCTTTCATTGCCTACATTGTCGTTCCTGGCGTTATGTGTGCTAACTGGTAAATGACAGTTTCGACGCCAAACCGCAGAGCTCCGGAGCACATCCGTTCATGACATCAATCCACCCACGCGGCAATTGCTCTTGAGCGTTGGTATCTCGCAATTACCTACACATCGCTTGGATACCGCAAGAGGAGGAGGTACATGAAAAACACTTAATGATAATATTCCACCATGCAAGGACGCAATCTGGTGTCGTTGCTTTCTCGTGGCTCTCCCTCTCTTCGGGCCGTCGGAGCAGCATTTGCTCGCAAGCCCTTCTACAGCCGAGTTCAGAACGCGACTACGCCAGCTTCGATTCGTTTATTGTCATCATTACCGAACCTTCCTCTCTTTCGTGCACTCAAAGATCATGACTCCTCAAGTCTCGCCGTCATTCATAGCGCATCTTCGCGGTTCTTCACGTACGGTAACTTGGTCGCGGACGTGCTGCAGGCGAAAGAACGCCTGCTAGGGTCTGTCGGGGGAAGACAGGATTCGCTATCCGGGGAAAGGGTTGCATTCCTTGCGGAGAATAGCTACGATTACGTAGGTACTGTTTCTCTACTCTGTCTCCGGTGGATCTTCTACAAGTGTCCTGGCTTAATAGCTGATCCTGATCTGCAGTAACACTCCTCTCTATCCTTGCAAGCAATGCGATTGCTCTACCTCTCTCTCCCGCGTTCCCTGTCGGCGAACTCAAGTATATCCTCGACAACTCCCAGGCCAAGGTGTTGGTCGCTACTCAGAAGTACGCGGATAAGGCGCACGACCTGCTCAAGGCCGGGTTGAATACAGAGCCCGTACTGGATATCAAGGAGAAGATCCAGGCGGGTGCGACTAGCTCGCACCCGGTCTCTTTGGAGGAGCTTGACGGGGAGAGATCGCTGGGAGGGATGATGCTTTATACTTCTGGGACTACGAACCGGCCGGTAGGCATTGACCTTTCCGTGACCTTCCCTTTAAAGTCTGTTGAGATGAAAGAACTTCTAGACTGACCATCAATTAGAAAGGCGTGCTCATTCCCCAATCAGCACTCACCGCACAAGCGGCTTCCCTATTAGAGGCGTGGAAATATACACCTGAAGATCGATTGCTTCATCTTCTTCCGCTGCATCACATCCATGGAACTGTTAATGCAATTGTGACGCCTATACTTGCCGGGTCTTCCATTGAATTCATGTTTCCGTTCAACACAGACGCTGTATGGAACAGGCTTGCAGCGCCGTTTCTACCAAACAGCACGACTAAGAGTAAGATTACATTCCTTACAGCTGTGCCGACTATCTACAACCGATTGCTCTTAAGCTTTCCCAGCCTACGTCCCGAAATTCAAGAAGCTGCGAAGAAGGGCATTTCGCCCGAGAATCTCCGCTTGAACATTTCTGGCTCCGCCGCTCTCCCGACACCGACCAAGCAAGCATGGCAGGATCTCAGTAATGGAAACGTCCTCCTTGAGCGCTTTGGAATGACTGAGGTCGGTATGGCCATTAGCTGCGGGCTCGACTTCGCGGACCGTGTAGATGGGAGTGTCGGCTGGCCGCTGCCGTCTGTCGAGGCTAGGCTGGTCGACACTGAGACGAACGAAGTCATCAAGCCTGGAGAGGAGCTCGATGCCAACGGTCGTGAGCAGGAAGGTGAAATCCAGCTTCGTGGGCCGACGATCTTCCGCGAGTACTGGGCTAATGAGAAGGCCACAAAAGAGGCTTTCGTGGATAGCGAAGATGGGAAAGGCAAGTGGTTCAAAACAGGCGACGTTGCTACCCGCCGAATAGTCCAGAACGCCGGCAAGGGGACCAGCGGTGAATGGGCCAGAGGCCCAATGTACTTCATCCAGGGTCGACTGAGCGTCGACATCATCAAAACTGGTGGAGAGAAAGTCAGCGCGTTGGAGGTTGAGAGGGAGTTACTCTCACTGTACGTTCACCTATTTCCTCTTGCCCGTACATACAGACTAACTTGTTCGTTCAGCCCTCAGATTACCGAAGCCGCCGTTGTTGGTCTTCCATCCGAGCAATGGGGCCAAAAGGTCGCTGCGGTAGTCGTCCTGAACCCCGAAGTAGCAGCCAAGACAGGTCGCAACGGCAAACCCTGGGGTCCCATGGACATGCGGCGCGCCCTTAAAGACCGGCTAGTGAGCTACAAGCTGCCCCAAGAGATGAAGATCCTTGACGGGCCAATTCCGAGAAATGCCATGGGAAAGGGTGAGTGATTTTGAGCTTATCATTTGGAGTCTACAAACTAACTATGGATTCTCGCAGTAAACAAGAAGACGCTTGTCAAGGAGGTCTTCGGATTGTAGATCGTACCTCCATTCCTGTATAGTAAGCTGCTCAACGAAATATGTAAATTCGCCCATGACCATGGTCGGACATTCTGACAACGACCGTTCCGAGTAACCTGGGATTATACACAACCATCATGATGTTACAATGACGGAAAGGAAGCTTGGGCGGATATCCGCCGATTCATCGCTTGAAAGGTCTTGAGGTGAAACATGGTATTTGACAAGATACCATACATCGAGCGCATCTGGACGGAAATAATCCGCATGTCCTCGATTGAAAAGAGTATTGAAATGGCGCGACTATCAATAAGCAATTCGACTCCTTGGGCGGGCTTGTTGCCAGTTGGCGAAAGACGCCTGCTGAGTCGGGCACAGGTTTTGCAATCTAGAGAGAGTCTCCGAAGTGAAGGCTATCAATCAGGCAGAATATTTCTCACGGCACACCTTATAAGACTTACAGACCAGCTCAACCGGTACTCCGCTCGTTCCCCAGATTCTTCCCCAATGATTGTGGGGAGCCAAGGATAACAGGGGGACGAGTCCCCTTCAGCAAATCCTCCTCTAATTGCTGAGCATGATCTCTTTTGCATCGTTCTAATGTGCGGTCCTTATGCTGATCCCATACTGAATTCGACCCCGTGAAATAACCGGAGTAGCATGTGCATGATGCAATACCGTCATATTTCGGATCTCTATCCCGCAGCAGCATGGCCAGGCATATTCCGGATTCAAAGGGGATATACCAAAGAACAAACCGTGGGCCCATACTCTTCTGGTGTGCTACGTTTCCTCGAAGTGCCATTATATAACCTGCGAGCAGTACCTATGAGCAGACAAAGATTTGTCCTCTGACTGAGCACGTCATCCTTGTTTGATGCAATTGTAACAATGGTTCAAACACTGACAAGCACCGCGCTGGTACTCCTTCGCCTTGTGACTGCGCAGCAGATCGGGTCCATCGCCGAGAACCACCCGCAGCTCACAACATACAGATGCAGTTCTCAGGGTGGCTGCGTTGCACAAAGCACCTCAGTGGTGCTTGACATCAACGCACACTGGATACACCAAAACGGAGCCCAAACATCATGCACCACTAGCAGCGGCCTTGACCCGTCTCTCTGCCCGGACGCAGTGACCTGCAGCCAGAACTGCGTAGTCGAAGGCATCACCGACTACGGCAGCTTCGGCGTGCAGACCTCAGGCGACGCCATGACGCTCCGCCAATACCAAATGCAAAACGGCCAGATAACGACGCTGAGGCCGCGTGTGTACCTCCTCGCCGAGGACGGCATCAACTACAGCAAGCTGCAGCTCCTCAACCAAGAGTTCACCTTCGATGTCGACGCCTCCAAGCTCCCCTGCGGCATAAACGGCGCCCTTTACCTCTCCGAGATGGACGCCTCTGGCGGCCGCAGCGCCCTCAACCCCGCCGGCGCAACCTACGGCACAGGCTACTGCGACGCGCAGTGCTTCAACCCGGGCCCCTGGATCAATGGCGAGGCCAACACCGCCGGCGCAGGTGCCTGCTGCCAGGAGATGGACCTCTGGGAGGCCAATTCCCGCTCTACAATCTTCTCCCCGCACCCGTGCAACACGGCCGGGCTGTACGCGTGCACCGGCGCCGAATGCTACTCCATCTGCGACGGGTACGGCTGCACCTACAACCCCTACGAGCTCGGTGCAAAGGGTTACTACGGCTACGGCCTCACCGTCGACACCAGCAGACCGATAACCGTCGTCACGCAGTTCGTGACGGCCGATAACAGCACGCTAGCCGAGATCCGCCGGCTGTACGTGCAGGATGGCAGGGTCATCGGGAATACGGCTGTCGCGATGACGGAGGCCTTCTGCTCGTGGTCGAGCTCGTTCGAGGCGCTGGGTGGGTTACAGCGTATGGGCGAGGCGCTGGGTAGGGGCATGGTGCTTGTGTTCAGTATCTGGGATGATCCGGGCCTGTGGATGCATTGGCTTGATAGTGACGGTGCCGGGCCGTGCAGTAGCACCGAGGGAGATCCTGCTTTCATACAGGCCAACTACCCCAATACGGCGGTGACTTTTTCGAAGATCAGGTGGGGGGATATTGGTAGTACGTATCCTCCTTAGGTACTGCTGGTTGTATATAGTCGTTTCGACTGTCAATTTGTACATATCGTTCTCTAAAAGCCTGTACATGGAGATGAACATAACTCAATGCGATAAGATTCTAGCAAGTTGGGTTATTGTAGGTATGCAAACACTCAGACGTAGGAGATATTCTTGGTGAGGAGCTTCAGAGCGGAAGCTCTCTATATTCTTCAAGATCGCTATATGATACATATAAACCACAGTTCTATAACGAACCTGACGCCTTGCGTCGTCCAAAAGAGGCGAGGTATCTACAAAAGAAATTTTACAAAATACAATTCCCCTTAACTCTCCGACTTCGAGAAGAAGTAAAGAGCTAACGCCACTCACCAACCCGCTCAAAATGCTTGACCACTCGCGTGGCCTCCATGACAACAAGCATGCGAGCCAAATCAACCGAGGTAATCTTAGCTTCAACGACGCTGAGGATGTTGGCGTCCGGTACGTTGTGGGTAAGGATCTGACAGCGGACTCCTAGAGACGTGATGACGCCCGCGTATCCTTCGCCGAACTCAGTTCCTGCCATGGAGGTACTGCTGTAGGGCTTGTGGAGGAGGCATGGGAACGTCTCGGGCAATGCGCATTCAGCAAAGTAGAATGCGCGGAAGAGGAGCATGCACGACCAGAACTGCTTGGACGCGGAGTCGCAGTCCCTGATGCGGTTGCGTTTCCAGCGTGATCTGGAGATATACTTGTCGACATAATCCTTGGAGAAGGGGAGAACGGAGGTATCCTTCGTGGCGTCTAGGGGACGCCCGTGTTCGTGCTCGAAGCGCAGCGCGGCTTCGATCTGGTAGTGTGCGAGGAGGTCGATGTATCGCCGAAGTGGGCTTGTGGATTTGATGTAGGCGTCCAGGCCGAGGGGGACATGTGGGATGGGCGTCGATGAGGAGATACCCTTGGGGGCTGTGAAGTGCAGCCACCCTTCTCCGCCGTATTCGGCCATGTTTTCGTTCGTTAATCTCGGGTATTCAGGATGATAACATGTTCCGTCGTAGACTGCTGGGATGTTGCGCTCTGCGCACCATTTCGCAGAGATCCAGCAAGCGAAATTCATCAAGGTCGAGATGAGATTTCGCTTTGTGAGGTCAGGTACTTCGTGGGGGTCAATATCCTGCAGGCGCAACTGGATGATTGGATCGCCCAAGTAGTAGCGGCCTTCGGTGATATCCATGGTGTAGGGTTTCATGGGCGCCGTTCCTGCAAAGACAGAGACTGAATTGTCAGCAGGCGACGGCCACTCCATGGCCCCGTTTTTGAGCCGGTATTCACGGAATGCAAGCATCAGTTTACGCAAGGTATGGAAAGTGCGCTCGTCTTCTGGTGCTAGCGAGCTCTGTAACTCTTCCCGAGAATGCGGCTGCGTAATAGTGCCTCCCACTGTCAGGGTATCCGAAGATCCAGTGGTGGATTCAAAAAGACTACGCAGCTTGTCATGCGTGATATAGACTACGTTTCTGACAATGCCATTGGCAATTTTCGTTTCCAGAACTTCACCCTGCAAATTCATTTTGGCACTGAATGTGAGTGTAGGGCGACCAGGAGCCAAACTGAAATGGCTCTGTGTCAATGAGCTGGGCAGCATCGGGTATGTGCGCTCGGGAACGTAGAGGGTCTGATTACGCACGGCGGCGTATTCCATGATGGAGCTGTCAGGTTCGACAAATGCGGAGGGATTGGCGATGTGAATATGTATCCAGAAAGAGTCATTCGAGCTTGGAATAGGCTCCAAGGACACTCCATCATCAATCTCTTGCGCGTCAGGATTGTCCACGCAGTAGACTGGCAGATTGCCAAAGTCAGTCCGCAGGCTCTCCATTTTATCCGATAGCCCTTCTGATTTGAGCTTCTCGCACACTTGCTTGACATCCTCCCACATAGCGTCTGACGTGCGCGAGATACCGTGTCCAGGAAGTGCTAAACTCTGGTCGAGTAATCGCAAATTTTCCCAAGGAGATAACACCCCTAATTCCTGTAAGAAGAGCTTGACGGTCGCTGCGTTCAGCTCGAGCGTGGTATACATTCCAGTAGCACGCATGATGTGGGAACCAGCCGACCTCAATGGCCCAGAGTTCATTCTCCTAGGAGGTATGCACCAGAGCAACAGATATTCTATGATCATTCGATCGTTGTCATTGAACTTCTCGGTGAGCATTTCGCGATACACCATGGGCTTTCCATCCTGTCCTGGTGCGAACCGGTGTGCCGTCGGACCAACGCTCGCCATGATCGTCGGCGACCGCACTTTCCTGCTCACCCGTATGAGACGCTGGGCTTTTTGCAGGAATTGTTGGAGAGGATGGTCCTTCATATTGGACTTCTCCTCTCCTATTACCCTGCCTGTCGCAGACCGGATGAGGTATTCCTGATGTTCATGTACCCATTTGGTCACAGTATCGAAGAGTCTGGCAACTCGTTTCGGTTGCACCAGGTAATGATTCGTGAACAGCGAACTTCGGTCATTCTCAATAATGAATGAGTTCAGGCGGATAGTCTGATGCACAGCAAATAAGATCGTATCGTCCAAGGCCTCCTCCTCTATGCCTAAGGCTTTACATGCCAGTTCTTCCAGTGTGTATTCCAGCTTCTCTGCCTCGTCTGCGACAATTTCATGCATGTTATCAAGGATATGCGCATGTTCTCGGTAGAAATCCTGGATCTTTGCTTCGAAGTCACTGATCATTTGCAATAGGGGGGCACCAACGGGTCTCGGCACTCCACCTTCAATGGCTGACTGCATTTCAAAGCTCATTCGAGCCATTGTGTCCGGAAAATGTGGCAGAAGGGGGGCGACCAATTCTGGAGGAGCGAATCCCTTCACGACATAGTCCAGATCTTTGCTGTGAGCAATTCGCCATTTCCCTCGCTCTGTATAGAACTGTTGCTGCTTATGAACGGATCGGACGTAGATTGCAAAACTTAAAATGCCGTCGACACTTCGAGAGGAGCAAGAGTTAGCGAATCCAAGTACTAAGGAAGGAGAAACTTCTACATTACTTACGTAGAAAGAGCCACCAAGTCCCCTGGCTGGAGGAATTCATCTACTCCCTCTCCTTCGTCCCCGATATTGTGGAATTCCAAGCTCCCCTCATCGGCCTCGCGTAAAACATCACTACCGGCATCAAACGCCTCCTTGCTATCGTTCAGCATGTTTCCCACCCAAGGAGCCGATGGATCTAATGTGCTTGCCGTCCCGGGCCCTCGGACCGGGTCCAAGATGTTCGGGTGCGTCTCCTGCCATTTGCGCAGATAATTCCGAATGTCTTTGTCCTCCTCGAACTCGGTTTTTAGAAGGATATCCTCGATGGAGGTAGTAGTCTGTTGCGTGTCCTGCCCAGCGGTGGGAGACTATCAGAATTCTATTAGAGCAGCCAATCATACATTCCCAGTCAGTACTCACCTCAATATTCGTAGTCAGCGTCCGTCGAGCGAGGCATGGACGATTCGATGTGCGCCCCAAGCGACTTGTGTGTGTAGTTCCGGTTATAAGGCGGTTTCGCTTCAGCAGATGGCTCGCCCCGATGACCCCACGGAAAATGTACGTCTTTTGCATCAACAAAGACATCTCCAGGAATCAACACATAATACAACTGAAATCTCCCCTGGAGATTCAAGAAGTGTCGGGGCCATCCCTTGCTTGACGCCATCGAAAACTTGTTGCATTTTGCCGGCATTTCTCAGCCCACCGCCCTGGCGGTCGGAGTCTGGTTCCAGCCAATACTTCATCGTTTCCCAGTTGATGCGCTCCGTTTCGCCTTTTGAACGGGCGTCGCTCGACTTGAACTCGCTGGATATGCTACGGAGTATATTCGCTGCCGATTCCGCTTGGATGTCTATCTTTATCAGACGATCTACCAGGCCAAGGAACATGTGGTCCTTCCAGAGGTCCAGCTCTGCGCGACCGACGAGGCTACTGTTTACAACAAATCTGGTCTTCTGCAGAACAATCGTTCAGGCATCACACTTTTTCCAATGAGGACCAAATCCGATAGCGATAGTATGGTATTGTATCTTGCTCATTGAAGACCAGCAGTCCGATCTTAGGCAAGGGACTTCGATGTAACGCTAAGGCTCAATCATCAGTTGACCATGCAAATATGATGCACCACCCAAAAGGACTACTTTATTGGCTGAATATTCAAACTTTTCAATTTTGCGTCAGGGTACAAAGGGGATGCAGTCCTTCACAAAACAGGGAACGCGACCGCCTAGGCTCTAGGAGGCTTGCCAACTGTTTCCCCGACGGCCTAACCGAAGCAGCCGGGTGATCTATCCCCATCTATCGCTGTGTCCTTATGGCGTTTTCTTGATACTAGCTCCTATTATCGGTCCAACGGTATTGCGGCATCTGCAGCGGGCCTTGCAGGGGTGGAAATTCCCCGCGATTTCCCCGTTGCCCAAAACGGCGTGAGTCGAGAGAAAGCTCAACTTCAGGCCGAAAGCTACTGCAATTCTCCACACAATACTCGCTTAAGCCATCCAAGTCGTACTAATCATCAAGCTGTTGATCACTCCGAAAATAGTTCTCTGCATGGCGACATGACAAACTCATTGCAGGCTTCCTATCGTGTGCCATTGATCACTGGGATCGCAGACTTGCTTTACGCTGGACTGCATAATTTCCTATCTGGTAACGGAAGCTGCTTTGATGAGGTCACCTCCTTGATGTATCTCCTGTCGTATTAACAAGCGAACTATCGCTTAATACGACCCCTATTCCGTGTCTTGACGATCTTCGCGGATCCTCCATTTGCTCTTGCATGGTATTGTCCTTACCATGGCCGATCTTAGGGTAAACCAAATAAGTGATCCGACGACTCAATCATTGTGACCCGACTGAAACTGTGCCCTGTTGATCACGAAGCTAGATTCAGCGTCTTTCTAATACTCCGTGCGGATAAGGTGCAAACATCAACTTACCGCGGGATTGGCGTCCTCTGTCATTTCGCATTCGCTAACGTGTTGATCGGATATTCTGCAATGTCTTCTTGCAGACATGACGCGCTCGCCTTGTGACTGCAAGACCTCTATCATGGAGGAGGTCTGTCCCATCACCTGCAGAATGCTATAACAAGGAAAGTTCAACACCAATGCCTTCAAGGATGTGGATCCTGCTTTGTTGCCGAGGATGTTCATTTGTCTATCCGGCCACCCGGTGGCCTCTCGCATTGCTGTCTGAAAATGGATGGATGGCCGATTCTCCATAGCCCTTTTTTGGAATAGAAGTTCCCTTGTACTTTCTACGAGGCCCCTCCACGCTCGCCTCTCCATCAACGAGTATAAATAAATGAATCATTTGCGATGTCTGCCGCGATGCTTTCCCAGAGACCCCAGGTTGCGTTTGGTGTTCTATAAGTTGTTTTAAGCCTATAATCAACCCATCATGACCCTAGGTCAACCATGGCGCACAGCTGTAGCAATAACCGCGGTGGCTCTTGCTCGTCTTGCGGTTGCAGATATCTGCTCGGTGATTAAGCAACAGGGCATAGAGATTCAAAAGCCGCTGGGTCCCGACTACTATAAGGACCTGACGAAATATTGGTCTGCTGCCTGTGGAGACCTGAAGCCGACATGTATCGCTGCTCCTTCGAGCGCCCTGGAGATGTCGGCTATTGTGAAGCAACTGCACAATTTTGACGACCTCTTCGCCGTGAAGTCGGGCGGCCATATGCCCAACAATGGCTTCGCTAGCATTCAAGATGGCCTTCTCATCTCGACCAAGAACCTTGATCAAGTTATCTACAACCCCGAAGACCAGACTGCTATCATCGGCCCTGGACTTACATGGGAAGATGCTCAGAAAGGTCTCGACGGTACTGGGCGGACACTGGTTGGTGGACGTCTTGGTGGGGTGGGCGTCGGAGGATACATGCTTGGAGGCAAGTTGCAGTTCCTTGCGATGGTTGACATCTCACTGATTCGGCTAGGCGGGTTGAGCTTTCTGAGTTCACAGTATGGCTGGGCAGCCAACAACGTGGTCAACTTTGAAGTGGTTCTTGCCAATGGAACCGTGGTCAATGCCAACGCGAAGGAGAATACTGGTAAACAGAGCAGAATGCACGATTCTCTTTAAAACTGACCTGGGGATAGATCTCTTCGCAGCTCTTAAGGGAGGTGGTAACAACTTTGGCATTGTTACTGCATACACTCTCCAGACGCATCCTCAAGACCATAAGGTAAACCGTGTCCAATTATGTTCATACGAGGTATCTAAATAGCACAGGTATGGGGAGGAAACTATATCTTTACGCCCGATAAAACGCCTCAAGTCTTGAGCGCTCTTCGTGAATTCACCGAGCATTATCCCGATGACAAGGCCGCCATCATTGTGACTTGTGAGCATGGCTTGTTGATCCACACCTGGATCATGTTCCTCTTCTATGACGGACCTGAGCCACCAGAGGGTGTTTTTACCAACTTTACAGCAATTGGACATACCGATACTACTAAAACTTGGGACAGTTACTATGACTTGGTCAGTAACCCTGCCGTCAGTCATCTGGAATACCTTATCTCATAGTGAAACAGCTTAAACACAACGATATCTTCATTCTACAGTAAGCTGATTTTCTTAGTATTCGTGTCGACTACTGACTTTGATTGCAGCGGCCAACGCTATACTATTGCTACTGAGACGACTCCGTTGCCGAACAAGACCGTCGGCGCAGAGGTTATGCAAAGATACTACGACCACTGGTTTAATGTGTCAAACACTGTACTTGAAGTGCCCAACATGCTCGGGTCAATTGCATTTCAGCCAATGCCTCGAACTATCACCAGCAAAGCCAAGGCTAGAGGAGGAGTAAGCCCTGAAAGCATTCATGGCATCTAAGAAATGCGCTAACAACCCGGAAGGATCTCCTCGACTTTCCCACAGATCAAGACTATATTATCATTGAGCTGGACTTCTCCTATGCCTTTGCTGCGGATGATGCCAAGATCGATGCTGCCAATCAAAATCTCTATAATGGCTTTGATAACATCATCAGCGACAACATTGACAAGGGACTCTTGCCTGATGTTTACCGGCCACTCTTCATGAACGATGCGTACTTCCGACAGGACTATTGGGGTCGCATCCGTACCAGGGAGCAGGCATTGCGAACCAGGATCAAGTATGATCCAGATGGGTTTTTCCAGAAGAGAACTAGCGGAGGATTCAGGCTTCATTAACTGCATCCTAGCTTATATTGTTCTTGGACCATTCTTTCACATATGTAGCTTGGATTTAGGGCTTGTCAAGCTGGATATAAAACCTCAAGCTTGGTGATATCTAGGAGATGAGGACTCTGCTTCTTTAGCGATGCATCATCAAGCTTCCACACTATGGATCGCAGTCGATATAGCCATGGCACTTTCCTCAGGCGTCCATCTATGTACTTCCCTTTCAGCCATTCCGTCAAGCAAAGGCGGGGCTGAGTGCAGCAGTGCTCCGGGCAGATTCTCTCAGAAACGTCTGCCATACGTCTTTAAGTCGTGCACTTTCATAGTAGGTAGCAGCACACTCAAGGCCCAATTCGAGTCAAACAATCCTCGGAACCATTTACCGGCTTGAGAAGATTGGGCGAAATCGACAGGGAGAAAGGCCAGCGCTTCGCGTTTCGTTCTGCTCCTTTCACTTCTTTTACTTCTATGTCTATGACGTTTCGTCTGCCTTTGTTTATGTAATTTCGCAGTTTCAGACAATAAAAATAGATCCTATCCTCGCCATGAAAGAGCTCAATCAAGCTCCCCCAACCCATCGCTTTGATTGGCTCCCAGACAATGCACAGTCAAGCCATGAAACGCGACTTTTTCATTTCTCTCCGACAATAGATCTTTCAAGAGCCTCAGAAACCCCTCCCCTAGTCGCTGTATCAGGTTGAATTAAGCTCACCAGGCTGTTGGCTGAGATTCCCCCGGCGGAAGACAATGCGCTCTCTCCAAGCGCCGGAGTGGAGAACAGAGCGTGTACATCCCGTCCCATCGCCTGGTTGACTCTCGCGTCCCGATCAAAAGCTGAAAGGCTAGAGTCGTAATGGGGCTCGTGCCTTGCCGCTTATTTCATGTATCTCAAATCGTGGTCTAGATCGGGACGATCATGGCGTCCATCGTCGACGAGTAGTGCTCCGGGCGCTTGTACGGATCGACGCTTTTGACGCCTCGCGCATGGGAAACCGCCCGTCTGGGACAATGGGCTGGGTCTAGATTCTTGGAGATGCTAAATTTATTTCTTGGTGATCGGTTGTTGAGTCTTTTGGTGTTGAGGATGCTTTGTTTCGGGAGGGCGTCGTTGTTATAAAAGGGTTATTGTCTGCCGTGGGAGGATGAGGATATCAGAATCAGATCAGCTCTTTGTCTTTAGTTGTGTTGCATTATACCACCGTTCTTCAGAGATATCATCTACATTCATTTGGATTCTCATATTTCATTTGGATTCAATATTATACATTCCTTCCGCGACTGGTCGTGTTGTCCCATCTTGACAGATATCTACTACAACAGGCACATACTACACTCCTTCGACACCGTAGAGTTATCACTTGTTCAACCCCTACACAATCAACATGGCCAGATACGGCGCACTAGGTGCAACCTTCCAAATCGCCCGGATCGTGCAAGCCTGCTCCCTCATCGCCATCATAGGCCTAACAGCCAACTTCATCGCCGAGATCGTCTCCAAGAACGCAACGCCACCGAGTGTCTTCATCGGCACAATCACCGTGGTGAGTAGTCGGTCATACCCACATCTCTCACCCACAGAGCTAACAGAGATCGACCAGACATGCATAGCCGTCATCTACTGCGTCATCTCCTTCATCCTCTTCCTGGATAACATCCTCCCCTTCCTGGCGAGCGCCATCATGGACGCCCTGGTGCTTATCGCCGTCATCGTGGTGGCGGTCGTCATCGGGAAACCACTCTCGTACCTCGAGTGCGATGTCATCGGGGATCTGACGGGTGATGGATCGTCCGCATACGCCTTTGCCACGAGTCTGGATAACTATCTGGACCATCTGGGCGGGAAGGTCGATTACAAGAACTGGATTGCGGCGTCTAGGGGGGTGTGTCTGGAGGCGAAGTCCATCTGGGGGTTGAGTATTGCATTGTGGTGAGTTTCTATCCTCTTCTTTGCCCCCTGCCCTCTTTTTCGGAAGATCAAGCTGATGGATGGATGCTGTAGTATTTTGTTCTTCTTTTCGGCGGTCTGCTGCGTCTGTCTCTGGCGGCAGAAGAAGGCGACCGGTGGTGAGAAGCTGGATGGATGAAGGTCTCTTGCTTCGCTGATGCGTTCGTTCTCAACAAGGACAAAAGACGGCGGTATGACCGGGTGGAAATAATGGCTAATATGATTGACGCGTCTTTTCTGTTGTTTTTCCTGTTCCTGACTTATGTACTGGATCTGTTGCATGGCTTTCTAGCGCTAATATAATTGAAGTATCTGTCTGTTACATATATATCAGCGATCATCACCAATATCCAGAGATCAAGACATACCTCTCCTCCATTCAAGCACACACCCAGGGTATCTAGATATCACATCTCCCCAGTCAATCCCAAGTAATCGAGAACAGCCAACGCCTCACCCCGAACTAACAGGCGGAATGATCGCGACTTCGTCCCCAGCCCCAATTACCACCTCCCCGTCCGCCTCAACATCCACATACTCCTCTCCCAAACTCACCCCACAGCTAACCAGCACCTTGTCCCTGATACCGGGGTATCGTTCCTCCAGGACATCAAAAAGCTTAGACAGTGGAAGGGGGCGGGAAGCGTCTCAGTTGCTTTATTTGTGTAGGACGACGCGCTGGAGAAGTAGTGGATTTGGAAGGCTGGTTGTGTTTCTTGGGTGGTCATCCTGGGGGTTGTGCTGCTTTTCTGAGGGATTCGTTTAAGGCAGAGAGGGCAGGTAAATGCTCGCCTGTAATTGTCGGTAAAGATGTGAAAGCGAAACAGGTTGATGCTCTTTCGGCCTATTTTTGCGGTTATGATGATTGCTGCAGAGTGATGAAAAGAAGGTTGGAGATGGAAGTGGTGCGGGGTAACTCTTATCGCAAGTCGCGACTCCACACCTCAGCATCAACAAGTACCGTATGTTGATCTAAGAGAGTACAACAGGGCAGCCAAGGGTATACAGGCAGAAATACAAGGATAGCTAAGATGTGCGGGCTATTATTTCAGTTGCTTCTCAAGAAAATGTAGTGTGAGTGATTACAAGTCTCGTCGTTGGGTTATTTATATATAGATAAGCTACAACCATTTACTTGCTCTCAGTGAGCGCCCTGAAAGCACTCAAAAGATCGCTCTTGAGATCCTCCCAGTTCTCCAACCCTACACTGATCCGAAGCAATCGACGATCTACCGTCGCATCGCTCATTGTCCGCCACTCGATCAATGTCTCCACCCCACCAAGACTGGTAGCATGCTGGAAGAACGAAAGTTTGCTGGGCAGCTTCCGCGCATGATCCTCCTCCTTCATAGTAATGGAGAAAACAGGCCCGAAGCCATTGGGCATCTGTTTCAGTAACCACTCCTCGTCCTCTTTCTGGAGACTCGCGTGGAAAACTTGCTCGAGGGCAGCCTGCGTGACGGCTTCATCGCTACCCGGCGCGGGATTCTGCGCGCGCAGTGCCTGGTCCAACCACGAGACCAACTTCGTCGCGCTTGAGCTCTGGCGCTGGACGCGGATCTCGAGGGTGCGCAGACTGCGGACGCCGAGCCAACTCTCCATGTTACCCATCACGCTGCCCAAGAATAATCGATCCTGGAACAGTTTCTTCGCCCAATCCTTGCGCTGTGTTGCAAGGACACCGCAAAGTACATCACTGTGCCCGCCAAAGTATTTGGAACCGGAATGCATGATAAGATCAGCACCCCAGATAAAGGGGTCTTGTAGGCCTGGCGGTGCGAATGTGCTGTCGACAATCAGGTACGCGCCTCTGGAATGGGCCTTATCGGCGTATTCTGCAATGTTGAAAGCAATTCCTTGCGGGTTTACGGGTGTCTCCAAGAGAATAACGTCTCCGGCCTCCAACTGCTCGGCGGGGCAGTTGAGATCTAGCTTCTGGAGCCCGGTCAGGCGGCCGAACATTTCGATCACACCGTGGCACCCATGGTAGCCATTACCAATGGCAATTCGCCGAGGATTCAGCAAAACAAGGGCTGCGTTCAGGGCGGATAGTCCCGAAGAATAGCTGATTGCTTCGCCGTTGAGGAGCGACGATAAAATGACTTCGAAACGGGTCGGGTTGGGTGCGGAGAGACGGGAATAGACATGGCTGGTTTTTTCTTGATCATACTAGAGTACGAATTGACAATGTCAGAACAAGGCCAAATTTGCACGGAAAGGATTAATCAGACTGCTGTGACATACGCCGCTGAGATCTGTGAGGGGTACCAGTTCGTCCGGATTGTCAGAGTATCGGAAGGTCGTAGAGACATGCAGCGGTGGAGCAACGTCGGTAACTACATTGAGTCCATCATCTGCGTGCAGCGAGCGCGTAGAAGCGCCAATTGATTGATTGAAATGAGCCATTGTAATGTTTCTTAATTACAGCATATTGTGAGGACAGGAAGGAGGACAGTCCCGTCGCGCAGCGGGGAGTCAAATGGCCGACTATCAGCGAACCCCACAGCAGAACTCACACGTGACGTCAAAGCGGGCGTGCTGTGGATCTGTATATTGCGTGATAGCCAGATAAAGAACGAAGGAACCGGCCAATAATAGATGTAAAAAGGGGTATATTGCGATAATGGCAACTGTACGTCGACTCAATAATGTACATATGGCGAAAGACTTCGTAACCCATGAATCACCGCCGAAGGGAGCCCATTTTTGATGGCTCACGGACTGTTCCCGGTACTGCAGCTTGGAAAGCTGAACGATCTATCGATATTGTTAGCGTCGAACGCGGACCCTGAGACACATGAGAGAGCATACCAGCTTCGGAGTCAAATGCAATCATTATATCGTCATGTTCACTCGGATAATCTAGCATATCCAAACAAACAAAGTTCGAAGCGGGATCATCTTCGGTTTTCGGGAGCGCAAACTTGGCGTCAACAAGTCGAATACAGAATTTGCCCGATCTTCCAAAACTTTCGAGCGTATCCGTGCCCTTGAGTACAAAGTTCATGCATCGTCCATGGTTGAAATCGGCCAAGAAAGCGACCAGCTGTACGACTTTCTCTTGTTGAACGATTTGTATGCGAGCGAAACTCGCTTCCCACTTTTTGTAGATCGGGACTACCATTCTGCGCCGGGAGATCATAAACGAGGAAGCAAGGCTAATATCTGCAGTCAGTACGGGCGGGTGGCTATCTGGTAGATGGGCGTAGAAGTACATACCCGTCAAATAGAACGTTGAACCCCGTTACAGCTGCCTGGAAAGTATGAAGATCTAGAAAGGGAAATTAGCACACTGCTGCGCCTAGAGGACTATCGCAGAACATACCTTTCAGAGACGCAAAATCAAAACGTCGAACCATGGGCTTGACCATGGCAATCTGCATGAAACTGGCTATTTGGTCTGGCATCTGCGCAGGCACGAGATTATCGGCTATTGAGACTGTCAAGTCCTGTTGTGCTGGTCTATATAAACTGAGTACCGTCCTGTTGTTGACGTCCAAACCTAATTTTAGTTCACCAGGGCCTGAAGGAAGAGTCAGTAGATCTCCCGAATCATTGGCACGAGTTGCGCATACCTAAATTCAGGCGATCTGTCACAGAACCCCACTCCGTTGCGATAAAAGCTCGCAAATGTTCAGATAAGACGGTAGGACCATAGCCATGGTCCACATAAGCACGTTCTTGGTCAATCACTGACACGTTACCGGCGGGAAACTCAAGATGAACCTTGACTGGCTGGCCATTGGGCTTGTCCGCGGGTTGCTCGATACTGTAGGCTCGTAAGGGTATGTCCGGTATCTTGAATTCCCGATCACTCGTGGTCATCCCCAAGAGCAGGGCATGCATGGTATTTCGGCCCTGGACTTCTTGAAACGTCATCACCATGGACCGACTCATTCCGTCTTCTTTCACCTTAAGCATAAGCGCGGGAGCTCCATCCTCTCCTCTGAGCAGTCCGAAAATAATCGGGGCGCCATGTCCAATAATATGGCGGACACTGCTCAATGTCTTCACCTTAGGACTGGTAAGTACTGTCAACCGAAAGCCTCGATGAGCGCTCCGGGAGCCCGTGCCTTCGGTCACCGTTGTGGAACGCTCAAATAACCGTAGCCGACAGCGCTCCACAGGTTCCGCAGGAAAAGCCTTGGGAGTGCCCGAGTCCATATACTGGAAGTTCTTCAGCGTGTATTCGAAAATGACGGTTTCGCCAGCTTCTGGCTGAAGGCTAGCTTCGGTTCTGAGCGTATAATGGACAATGTTCCAGAGATTCTTGAAATCTTCATCTTGAAACGAAACATCTAATTCGAAGCCCCGCGGCATCCTAACCCGCATGGAATGCGACCTGACATGCCATTCCACGTCATCCCAGGTGGGCCCTTTCTTTCTGTCCGACTGGATCATGACATTGACCAATTCACTCTGGCTTGTAATTGCTGCGAATACGTACCAGTCTCCGCGGTCACGTAGTATAGACAAAGCACATGGTATTGAAAATTGCTCCTGCGAGTCGTCTTCCTGTGAACTGATGCAAGCCTCCACAAACATACTCCCATAGCTGAAATAACGGCTCGTATCACCCAGCGGCATCATCTGAACAATGCTTGGACCCTTTCCGGAGTTGTCCACCAAAACAGACCTTGTTGCTGCTCCAGATAGTACCGCTGAGACGTCAGGGGCGAAAACCGGGTACCCCACCCACACATTCGTGTCCGCTTGGACAGCCGCATCGCCTTCAGCAGCAAGTTCAGGAAGAATATTATTTCTCTTGATTGACATGGCCAAAGAGCGCAAGTGACTCATAATCGCTTGGTGCAGGGAGAGACAATCTGCCAGATGTTTATCGCCAGTCGTGCTTGCCACAGCAATAATTGCATCAATCCCCCTAGTACCATATCGAGATAATTCACTGTGCTGTGGTACGACGTTCTCACAGATCCACAAGGCTTTGCCAAGGTCCACCACGGCTTGTTTGGCGTTGTTCAGTGGGCTCCCCTGGGATGTCCCCCCAGAACCGGAAGAGCGAGATCGTGCGTAAGCTTCAAGCTTCTTCTTCCCACGCAGGAACCACCATACCGCTGCCCTTATCCATTCAGCCAGAGAAATTTCCATCGAAGGCTTCCCACTCTCTGCTGCGATGCGGATTAAAGGAGAATACTGTGCCACGTACGCCTTGAGATCCGTGAAGGCAGTATCACCTACTTGGCTGGCTAGTGATCGTAGGGAAGCTTTCGGTAACTGTGTCCCGTGACTCGTGTCGCGCTCGTTTCGGCTGACTGGATGATTTTGTACAGGGTCTCGGGGAATCGGCTGCGGCTTGGGAGGCGAAAGACTCCGTAGCTCAGGGCCAGAGGTGAGAGCAGCAGGTAAGTTCAGTTCAATAGGGCTCGTGCCGCCCTGCTTGTGTGTGCTTGAGCTCGCGGGAATTCGAAGGGTCAGCGCCGGGGGTGACGCTCAGTCTCCGAAACAGGCGATGTTTCATACAGCGAGTTGGGGTTCTCGGGTGAGACTGCGGTAGATTTCTTCTCAGTGCGTGGTCCATCCTCTTCTGGCGAGGAGGGATAGTCTTGACAACCATGCTGCAGCGCACGACCCTCCTCAGCTTGCATCTTCGCCCGAACACGCTGAGCAAACGAGTTAGACTCAGGTGATGCTCGGAATGAAAGACGAGAACCCGCGCCACCAAGATTCAATGTCAACAAGAATTCAGAGTCTTGGGGGCTCTGGATGAGTAATGGCTTCAAGTCCGCTGTGTTGATTCCGTCGCTTGTATCCTTCCGTTGAGGTGTTCTCGCCTGTGATACACCATCCGCGGCTCCCAACGAAGTGTCAACCTGGAGTTGGGGCGTCTTCGAATCATACTCAGACCGACGCCCACGATTCAACGATATTTCCATCGTAGGAGCCTCAGTCTCGTCACCACCTTCCCCTATCACCTCTGGATCTTTATCGGAAAATCGGACCTTGAGGCCCTTTCGCGCGCGGGTCTTCCGTGGTGGGGATGGAAAGCTCGTCGGAGGGTAGATCTCGGTTGCGGAAGCAGGATTGGAAATTGGAGAAGCAGCGTTCAGGACATCTTGAGCCGAAGGCCATCGATGGGAGGCGTCCAGGCGGGGCTTTTGCTGCCCTCGAGCCGTTCCATTGGCTGAATTTAAAGCATGCGATACGGATTTTGAACGAACTGGAGAGAGAAACGCTTCGATTTGCTGGTCCGTCGTGGGGGATTGATGTTCTTCTCCTTGTCCTTCTCCCTCTCTTTCGAAAATAGCTTCTCTCTCCAATGCGGCTTCTTGACGGCAACCGGCCTGGGCTCTTTTTCCAGGAAAGCAAAGGGATCTCTTGTAGACATTTTTATCGTTTCTAGACTTGGTCGATCGCGCGGGATGATACTAGAATGCTATAAGCATCGCAAGCGAGGTAGATACCCGCACAACAGAAGCTATAAAGTCCGTGAGCATACCATTCCCCACCACATTCGTTTCTAGCGACTCTCGTGCGCAGACCGCAGATCAACAGGAGTCGGTCAGATAAGTGAAGAACAACAATGCTACAAGAGTAACCGATCGTGTGGGGAAATTGCGATAAGGAAGAATAGGTGGATGAGCCAAGTTCAACGGGACTTCCACAGGTAGGCTTCTGAAGAATATTTCTTTTATTCCAGAAGAGGAGAGAGTTTGGCAATAATAAGCTGCAAATGGCTGGCTAGTCACAAATAAACAGGTGCCACTCGTGGAGGGAGGCGCGATTGCGTTTCGTCCTCTGGTGGAGTAGGGGACCAGCGATCTACCAACACCAATTAAATAAGCATTCAAGAAGTGACGAGTGAGAGGCGCCAGCGAAGAAGAAGGGGCTTTCAGAATATTTTGCGGGATCCTCGGAGTACTTACCTTTGAGATCAGAAGAGTAATAGCTGAAGCAACTCGATGAAAGCAAGTGAATTTCTATCTCCAAAATGAAGAGCAATGACAATCTGGCTTTGTTTAAATGGAACGGTCACGCAGGCTGCCAAGCTGGACCAGCAGCTCCTTGTCTACTATCCAGTGGATTTCCCAACTCTAATCGGAGGCCTAAAAGATAGGGGGAAGAAAGAAGAGAAAGAAAAGAAGAAAGAAGACAGGTTAGATAACAGGAGGAAGGATTACTGTAACAGCAGTAGTCCACTTGACATGGTACCACTCCCTTGAGCGCTTGTGTCGTCAACCGAGGACGGGTACCTGGGTTTCTCCGCAATGCGCCCCAGCGGTACTACGTGGATGCACTCTACTTCACTCTGAAGGATCCGAAGGAATCAATCATCAATAATTCCTAAAATTTTCTCGTTTCCCAGTAGGAAGGTCTGCTCAAAGACCATCTACTTCAATAACAGCGCAGCGAAGAAGATTGGGACCATGGCTCAGATGGTATATAGACCACATTGGTACCATTGCACAACGAGCAAAGGCAAGATAACGGCGACAACAAATCAAACAGATCTATAGGATAGTCTACAACATACTCCATAGATAGAGACCCCTAAATGGTCATGAGGCTTGGGATGAATTCTCCATAGATATTATCTAATTTATTTGAACTTTGAGGAGTAAGCCATAAAAAGTACTACACTCCATTTGGTAAACTATACCCTATCATCGCATTAAGTCTGGGACGCATGAGACATTGATTCAAATCCAAAGGCTGATAAAAACAACCCCCCTGGCTCTCCAAGGAACACATACACATAGTCTGTGTCCAAGGCCAATCAAAATGATCTCTGGGATGTACCCACCAGCACATTCTGTTGTTAAAGAGCTCAAACCTTCGCCCTGAAACGACGCTAATCCCATTGGAGCTGGGCCCCGCAATACCCTAGGCTATTTCTGTTCGGACTTGGTGGCTGCTCGTGGGTCGTTGACAAGCACCCTATGATCCTCGATCCTTGAGCCGTGTTTTGGAGAAAGCCGCCCAGCCCCCCATGCTACCATGCTAGGGGGTAAACGGGGGTTCACTAACACTCGGAGTACCAAAGTGCCACTGACACGATTCCCAAGCTCTGATCATTCTTGGATCTCCAGGCACACTTCCAAAGATCGGTTGAACAATGTATGGAGAAAGCATTTGAATATTCAGCCATGAATCTTGGATAATGTACAGAGTTAGACTTTAGCCGACTAGCCGGCGACTATCTATCTGTTAGGCTTGAGTTTATCTAGGCTTTCGTAGCGTTCCTGAGGTGTCTTACAACTTCGAACTATTCTCTGCAGGATGCGTGCCATGTGTACGGTACAGGGCTATCTTATTATTTCCAATGATTATTGTGAACAAATTTACCAGATTTCGACTTCACTGAGAGACCGGATATGCCCTTCAAGGCTTCGACCCCTTCCGGTTCAATAATGATCGGCATTGATGCACATGCTGTGATCTTCATCAAGCATGTCGATGAAATGATCTCATTCCACGTCAGCTATATAGAGGTAGCGTGTAAACTGAAGACACGTTGACTAACTATTGCCGTATCACCTGCTATGATTTGTGCGAAGCGAGAGCATTTCTTGCTTTTTCATATTGGTGATTCCGTTATCTTCCAGACAGCAGTGGTCAGAGGTATTGCGCTATATATCACGTCCACTTCGCCAACGAGATATATTACTGAATTTGATAGGCTGCTCCGTCGAGAATGTCCACTCTCCTCGGAATGCAGCATTATTACCTCTCTATAGGGTCGAGATTTGCTGTGGTAAAGCTACGAATTCTGCATTTCTACATGACTATTAGGCTAATATTTCTCGAATCCTAATTTTCGCAAGAGTGACAAGCTGACAATTCTTAAATTGGTCTGGCTGGGACCAACGCAACCACTCGCCCAGACCGAGATAGCACCATGCCAACTACTGCTAAGTTGGTCCCTAAATTCAACTGAATTGTCAACCCCAATGTTGTAAAAGTTCTCTTAGCTGTGGCCTATCTAAAGAACTTTCTGGATGAAGATCCCACTATACAATACCTGCTTTTATACACTATTTGTGCTTCACAACTCATCGGTTCTCGTGCCTATGCCGACATCCGGCCGCCGTGGACGGTAAGTTGTCGAGTGTCGAATTTCCCGAAGAAGTGGTAGTACAGAGGTACTTTAGCCAAGCTCTCAACATCCAACACATTGTCTCGGGGGGAGTCGAGCATACCAATCACAAGCCGAAGACTTAATGCAAGGTAATTTCTCCTTCAATACGCCCAATCATGATCAGTCAAGATTTAGACCTCGAGCTCGGCTTTCCTTTTCGTCCTTTCCGGTACACTTGAGGCTCCTTTCCCCATTAGCAGTGTTTAATAACTCCGTAGTCTACACTTAAATCTGGATAACCCTAGAAGTGCTCCTTGTGTCTTAGCTAATGGTGAGAATTGCCAGGTGGGCTAGAACGAGACGTTGCGGTATTCATATAGTTTGCAAGGATCGTCATTTTCCCCGTCTCTCCCAAACACATGACTGGCGCACCGTGATATGGCAGAGCTCATTCTTTAAGATTATTCTGCCCCTGCAGTAAGCCCTGATCATCAAAGGGAAATACTAGGATGATTTCTATTGAGTTTCCTAGTCTCTGCGATATATATATCCGCAGCCACGTGCAGACCTCGAGGTCAGACATCGTACCTAGACCAAGAGAATTTGCCGATTTGATGGGTGAACTAGCACAATGACAGCATTGACCTCTGCCTTGGCCCATATGTTGGAGCTGCGACCATTTCTTGCCAGTCAATGAAGAACAAGAGAAGCCGAGGAGGTGAGAACAATGTAGGCCCTACTACAAAAATGCTGTAGGTTGTGGGTAGCACTTGAAAATCCTGCAATTTAGATAAGCTTCAAAGTGCATGCCATTCCTGCAAATGTTATATTTATGTGTGTTCATGGGTGTGGTGTGGCTGGCGAGATGCCACAGCTCGCCCTCGTCTCCCTGACATGGCATGGGAAGAACGAAACGGAACGGCTACTGTTTCATCTACCTCAAGTTGTCTACTCGTCTTCTTCATAGAGTACTGCAAGGAACTAGTCGCTGTCACGGGTTTGACTGATGATCTCCTGAAGGGGTATCTTCCTCCTGGAAATGCCTCCCAAGAGAACAGAGTCAAACTCAACAGCCTGAGATCACTCCTCGTCCAAAATGGTGAAAGGATACTTTGCCGACTTCGAAGCTACTATTCGATTTTTCACCATAATCTCTTATGCAGGACCTGACCTTCAAACCACCTTTCCCAAGCTGAGGAGATGAGAATCGAGGTTTGAGTCAAGGAGATATGACCCGAACTTCTGATGCAGGAACTGCAACGCGCGTTCAAGCGGTCCAGCATAGCAATCTCGTCGCCAGAACCCCCATATTGTTCCTGCGCAGGAGCTGATATGATGTACTTGTTCCGAGTCGACAGCGATCCTTCACACACAGATCATAGATACAGTTCAGGAAGTTGACCGCATACGAGGATTCTCAGTTTGTGGTAGACCGCCTGATTTTGTACGCGTCATACGCGAGTCCATCAACACCTTCATGAACTTCGGGCCATTCTCATCATTATGCTACAAGGAAGGGTTAATGACCGGGTAATCCACTGCCAAATACACCTTGAGTTGCCCCCAGCAGATTATCATACCATGCATGAACTTGCCCGAGGATAATGACGTGGTAGACCACACAAAGCACACCTTCCAGAGCACACCTTCTTGAGTCCCACATACAAAGGAGCCACTGGTGGAGAACCAAGTCTACAATCTTCTGGATGGTTGGTTGAAATGAATCAGATGCTCATACAGAGCTCGAGTGAGTTGAAGAACTATTCAAGAACTGACGGTCATTGTGTGTGTCTCATCAAAGCGATCAGCTTTTTAGGAGACCATGGGTGCTCCTTTGCTCATGATGTAATCCAGGACACAATATACCAACATTTCCCCTTACGCACCGCACCGATATCTAAATATATCCATGGTACGACCTGTGGATGCAAGGAGTGGCACTTGAAGACGATATCAGCCCTTCGCAAACCGTCTTCAAGTAGGGGATCGAACAATAAGTATTTCTGGACTCCCAAATGGGCGCCGTCCAGCTGGATTGTATGAATACGGAAGACTTCAGCCCAGCGGATGCTGTGCCACTGGAGATCCTCGTTGATGGTGGTGTGCCCTCAACATGGATCTCAACTGGGTATTCGGGCGCCCTCTAAAATCGCACAAACCTCACAAGGGAAAAAGCATCAAAATGGGTAGTAATTCAAGCATAACAATACATGATGAGAGCTGCCTATAATTGCATCTGTTGTTGAGAATTCCCCTGTCAGAAATTTTTCTTTACTGCGGCCCACAGACACCAGAGCTGGTGATAAACGGTGTCCAAAGTACCATGTGCGACGCAGTACAAGAGACATATTTGATGGATGTGAGACTACGCATACAGCTGCTTATCTGGAAAATCGACAATCTATCTGAATTGCGCTTGATCAAAATTCACATATTCCCGAAGCATCGATGTTTATAATCCTACAACCGTACAATTATAAGACTTCTAAGAATTTACCTGTACCATTATGAATATGCTTTGATAATGGTATGGTAATGGTGATGTTAAGAAAAGACGCGGCTGAGACAGTTTCAGTAGCTGTTGTCCAGTAGAATATCAAGATTTAGCAGGTGGTGTCGAGCGCATCTGCCGGTCAATAATAGTCATCGTTGTCATTGGTGTTAGAAGTGCCAGAATTGGTGCCCGCAGGTCTCCTCTCTCCTATCCTGTGTTTCTGTGTCAGAGTATGTGGTTATTAGCGAAAGCTCTCCGACTCTCCCTAATCTGGTCGGCGAGACGGTGGCTGTCTATGTTTCCAAGTTTAGAATGCCACCTCTTACGATCCACCCCCAAAGCAACCTAACAAAGTCAGCAAACATGGCGCAGCAAGCCGCCAATAGGTCCGGACTGGACCTGCTCTTACTGAGTACCCAGCGCCAGGGCTCGCATTCCAACTTTTTTTTTCTTTTCACGTTTCTTGTCAATCGCTTCTCTTGTCTTGTCTGTAACCAGCCGATACTCTCCGTGTTTACGTTTCGGTTGTTCGAACTTTTTCGTGTCTCCCCTCCGTCCCCGCGCTATCCCCTCCAAAGCCACGGTCGATTCCCCTAAACGGCGAACGAGATTCGACAGTACCTAGCCCGGGGAGAAAGCGAAGTGTTCCAGCTCTAGGCAACTAACCACCCATCGCTGAATGACGTTTATTGGCTCTTTTGGATTATTACCGGCCCTCAATTGCCTTCTTCCCTCCGCCATAGCGCGTTCCCATCCTGACTGACTTCAAAGAAGTCTTTGATGAGGACCTAGTCGGTGGGCATATATCATCCGAGGCGCGTTTGGGTACTCCTTCGACATCGTGGATTGATATCGCGGACGAGGGGGCTGACCTCCCCGAGGAGGTCATCCCAATCGCACGAGCTGGTCGTGATGTGTGCAGGTAACGATGCGGACCGGCATGGCACCTGGAGTCCTACGTTTGTGTCTCATCAACGCGCAGACAACTTCTCCTCCCGTAAAGACGGTCCGTTTCAGAACGGGATCCTGGGAACATCTCGACGACGGCGGCGATGGCACATTCTGAGATCTACACACCATGGCATAGCGGGCTTGTTGATGGTGTTGTTATTGGCACTCGTATCGTCGGCTCGCGCTGCGTTACTTAACTTCGAAAATTGTTTAGATGCGTCCATCGTCCAGTCAAATCCTTTACAATTGCAGTTTGTTCCATTGGACGTGTCAGTCGTTTTCGATCTTCAGGACCCTCTTTATACTCTCAACGTCACGATATATGGCAATGTGTCTGGAACTGCCGATCGGTCATCGTCCTACCCATCTCCCGATGATCCCCGGTGGTCGAACCCCAACGATACTGTCGGGAAGATCGCTGATCTCAATACTGCCAACAACAAATATAGTACTCTCCTGACCGATGTGGATGTAGTCAGCTTCTCCCCATATAGCGATGCCTCCAGATTCTGCGATGCCGTTACCCAAGGGGGTCCTTGCCCTTTGGGACCGGTCTTTTACGCGAATGCGTGAGTCTCGGCCACCTTATTTGAGCGTCGACGCATCGCATCACCTCTTCTGTTACCGTGTGTGTTCTGCTTTTACTGACTTGAGATTTACTACAGATCTACCTTGTCCGCGCTGCGCGCTTTCTCGATCCAGCACGACATGCAATCGGCCTACCACTTTTCCACCCTCTCGTCAACTTTCAGAATCAAATCGGGTGACGCAGCAGCTACTGCGCTCGGATGTATAACCGTGGATATTACATCGGACCTTGGAACAACTCTGAAGAATGCTCTAGCCTACGTCCCCCTCGTCATCCTTGTGCTGGTCGGAATCGCTACAATATCTGCGGCAATGTACAGCCCATGGGGCACGACGAATTTCTTCCACTGGACAAGCAATTATGGCCGGGATGAGGATGTTCTGCGGCTTGTGACGCCGGGTTTTGGGGACTGCATGCAGTATATACAGTTCGCGGTCTTGACGGGTGCGCTCTCATTGAATTATCCTGGATACTATCAGCCAGTGGTCAGCCAAGTCGCCTGGTCTACGCTTATGTTCAACCAGAGCTTTGTCCATCCAGGACAGGGGCGAGATCCTGTAATTGACGGGGTTTATGCCGTCAATGCCACCTATGGGCTTGAGAGGTTGGATCAGTATGTCGGCATGGCCACAGCAAGTGACATTTGGCCCGGGATGATCATCTGGTTGCTCGTGATCCTGGGCATAGTCACCGTCTTGATCCAGCTTGCATTCGCTTTCCGTTGGCTTCACCACGAACTGGCGAATATCCCGGAGGAGGATCTCCGTTCGAGAAATATGCCGTTCACTGTGGGGAACGTGATTCGGATAGTTTTTAACTTTCTGTTCCTCCCCGTGGTGTCGTTATCCTTCTTCCAGCTGGTGATTGCTGCCGACTCTCCAGCATACTCTGTGGCGCTCGCTGTTGTGGTTATTCTCGCATTATTGGTATTTTCCATTTGGACCGTCAGATTGATCGTGAGCACGCGCCCCAAGTCACACCTTTTCGACGACCTACCAACAGTGCTATTGTTTGGACCTCTCTACAATACTTTCTGCGACGATGCGGCAGCATTTGCGGCAGTACCAATCTTCATCACTTTTGCTCGTGGTGTCGCAATTGGTGCTCTTCAACCATCCGGCATAGCCCAAATAGTTCTCCTCGCCATCTGTGAAGTTGTATATGTTCTCACCCTCGTGGCCTTCCGACCATTTCCACATCCCACGTCAATGAACCTTTATCATGCTTGTTTCGCCATCGTGAGATTCCTTACGATACTTCTCAGCGTCGTTTTCGTCCCTTCTCTTGGAGTATCGCAGGCCGCGCGCGGATGGATTGGATACATCATACTCCTACTCCACGCTTTGGTACTTGTCTTTGGATTTTTCCTAAACGCACTGCAGACTTTGATCGAAGTGATAGCTCGACTCGCTGGCGCTGGTGGTTACGAGGGTGGCGCCACCCGCGGAGGACTGGTGAAGGTATTCGGCATGCGCCAACTCTCGCGACGCCTACCGAGACGCGATACTGCAGGCACACGTCAAAGCATGGCCTCCGACGCTGCCATGCTTGCGCACACAGACGATCGGATGTCCGCGCAATTCGATGGATCAAGGCCAAGGAGCCTTTCAGGCAGCTTGCTCTTGAACAGAGCAACCGCAAGCGACGGCAGGGCCAGTGGAATCTTCGAATCAGGAAGCGCACATGGAGGGACGCATAGCCGTGCCAACAGCAGTGGATTGTACACGCCTACTACCCTTGGCGGTTTCCAGGGTGCTGGCTACCAGACGACAGGAAGCAACTCACCCAAAAGCGGTCTCATCTACGCCATGCAACCCCATGACCCCTATTATAGACCCCCTCGGCCCCGTAGGAATAATGAACGAGGTGCATCTTTCGAAAAGGGCCGGACAGTCTCCCACACCGCTTCAAGGTCGGGTAATTTGGGCGATATGGACGACGATCTCATTGAGGGTCCCTCAATCTCCGGAAGGGGTACACCTGTGCCTGCGTATATCCCGGCACCCAAGGACGATCTTGACTACGATGACTCAAGACCGTCCCGGAAGGACTATGCCGTCCGTGAAGTAGACTTCTACTACCGAGTGCGAGGCCCTCCACTTTCCCAATCTGGGACAAGAAAGTTGAAGACCGGTCCCGCAGATCCCACAGGCCCGGTCTCCTCCGCTACAGGCTTTTTCCGAAATCTCTTCAGGGGAAAAACAAAGGAAAAAGGCAAGGGGTTTGAAGTTGTCCGCAGCACGAGAGCTCCTCCTCCTGGCCTCCTTCCCGAGGGAGATAATTTCAATGAGCCGTACAGGGACGAGCCCGAGGAGCAGCCATCCCCTGATCATGAACGCCAGGCTACGGATAATGATGTGGAGGAATCTGACTCGGGAGACGACGCCAATTCACCGACTAAGCGACCTTCCATCAGCTTACCACAACTTGACGTCGGCGGTGCTATCGAGCTTCCTAGCCGACTGGGGTCGCGGCGCAGCTCTTTAGCACCCTCCGTGACACGGCGGGATTCTGCCAATGCATTTGATCTGGACAAAGACGCTCCTTCTCAGTCCCTACCCGTGGTTGAGGAAGCCGCCTCGACGGGGGTTTCAACACCCGAACTTCAGCACGACACTACGCGCTTTCCGACTAGTCAACTTCAGCCCTCTTCCGGTGCCGGTCGCCTGCCATTCAGCGCCAACAGCTCACCTTCTCGGGATCGGAATCTCTCAATCGCTTCCACGATCGGCTCGAGATCATCCAGTCGCCGAGTCGGTCATGATGGCAATGATAAACCTGAACGTCCATCGAGCGTGGGTTATGTTGCTCAGCACCGAACCTCGGATTACATACACCAGGCTAGTCCAGACGAGCCCACCTTTGCAGGAAGTTCAGCTGAATTAGTGGACGAAGCTCCTCATGGAGGAGCGCATTAAATCGTCATTGTTAATGTCACTCACCTTCGACATCCAACTCACGAATCTCCTTTCTACTTCGCCCTCGTCCCCTTTTCGCATCTCTCTTCCCCTCGAAAAATAATACGTATCGGGCGTTTGTGATATACTACCGGATTATTCTTTTTCTTTCTCTTCTTTTTCTTTTTGCGTATCGCCTTGAGGATAGCGGCATTTAGCGAAATTTGGCCTTTTCTCCAGCTTATTTGACGGTGGCCTCGACATACGAAGAAGCTACCAGAGCATCTTGTTAGACCAGTCTAATTTCGTTTCAAGTCTCTTGTTTGTGATTTATGGCGGCCCAGTGCAACAGAGGGCCCACACGAGTGTACAATTTGGGGGTTTCTTTTCCTATATGACATACTAGGCAATAGTTTATTTTAACTATATTGAATGGTAACATGATGCTTGTGGATCTACTTTTATATTTAGTCCCGATGCTTTTTCACAGGCTCCTGACCACTGTTAGCGATGTCGTCGGTTGACTCGGAATTTAAACTTGAAGACGACGAAGTGATGTGTCACGCTACAACTCTAAGCAAACAGAGCATTCTCCTATCGCCACAACGAGTATCTGCTGACACCAACGCCTGTATGAGAGCAACAATCATTCTCGTTGATCATCCATTAATCCCATCCGATTTTCACGGTCAGGATTTGACATGATCGTGTCACAATAAATACTAGCAGCATTGAGATCAAGCATGTATGCGAATGCAGCAACATCCCAGTGTCGCCGCCGTTTGTAAGCTTGCGAGGAGCCCGCGGCGAATTCTCGGGTTGGAGTGATTAGGCACGTCCGCGTTGTCTTCCGCACCGAGTCTTTTCTCTAGTTTTGTGCTTCGTGCGCCCTTTTTTTTTATTTCTGTTTGTTGCTACAGATGACCTTGGAATCTTTTGTCTGATGGTTTACTCAATCTTGGTGTTATTGTCCTGTCCTTGTCTCGCAGTTGCTGGCTTACTGTCACGAGACCCTTGATAGTCGGTCATTAAGGTCCGGGCACCATCAGATCCTCGCAGCCTCCTCGCTTCGCATAGATAACGAAGTTGCCCTTCTTCGTTGCGCTACGTCTTTCTATCTCTCTCCTCAAGTGTTGAATACATACGACACTTTGAAAGTAACTCGATCAGTCTACTATCTCCACGCCAATCCGCATCGTCAGATACCGCACAGCTCCTCGCACCCATCCTGGAATTTCCACGCCACACAGTCAATGACGGACCGTCGTCTAAACGGCGGAGACTGGTCTCCTCTTCAACTGCAGGGAGTCCAAGCTTGATGTCCTCTTCCTCTACATTTCCAAGGCTCATGTCTTCGTCGTCGTCGAGTACCGCTTCCTCCGCTTCTTCTACACCCGCGGCTCCACCCGCCTCATTCTTCATTCCTGGTCCTACCGGCGCCGTCCCCAGGCCTCATGCTAGCTCAGAAACATTGGGAACATCCAGTGCTGGCGCTGCTTTTGATAAACGGTCGGAACGGCGACGGTCAACACTCTCTGGGTCGGACCGGAAGAGAAGGCTGATCAATTTCGAGGGGGATGGGTGGCCGCATCGCACAGGGTCCCACAGGATGATGGAAGCAGGATCGAGTAGCCGGGTGGCAGTGGATAGCAGGTCTATCCAGCCGGCACCGTCGCATGCAGCAGCGACTCCTGCGGTCCCTGGTTCCTCGTTTGCTACACCTATCGAACTATCTTCTTCGCCACCGCAGCTGTTGCCTGAAAGAACGGACAATATGCACCGAACTTCCTGGTCGCAGGGCGCCAATGGATATATGGAGTATATACGGCCCCGATGGCAACCTGATTCGGAGGTTACGAACTGCCCGATATGCGGAACAACGTTCAGTTTCTGGTACAGGAAGCACCACTGTCGGAAGTGTGGACGGGTTGTTTGTGCGGCTTGTTCTCCTCATCGGATTACAATACCTAGGCAGTTTATCGTCCGTCCTCCGGAGCCGAATCGCTCGCCTGCAGCGACTTTGATACCCGCGCGGGCAGCTCAGGTCATCAATCTGCATGGGGACGATACATCGCAATCACCGGTGGCGATTAACCCAGCCCTCGGCGGTGGCGAGGAGGTACGACTCTGCAACCCGTGTGTGCCAGACCCGAATCCGGAACCGCTTCGGGGGTACACTGCGGTTCGAGGAGGTGGTGAGCAAGGGACGAACTGGGGCAGGGGTCCACCGAGCCAAGGTCGACACCGGTCTTATCACTCATTGTCGACATCTACGAGACAGTTTCCTTATGATGCATTCGTAAGTTTTGTCAACTCAAGAGGCCGAGAGTTAAACACTGATAAGATCTCGCCTTTCCAGACGGAGTCTTCTTCATCAAGATTGAATCGGCGATCAATAAGCTCGAATGATTACACAGGCTTGGGCGGTGCTCTAGGCGGCGTGTTCAGTTCCAGCTTACAAGAAAGACCAATGCGATATGGGTCATTGCCCGGTTCGCAGTGTTCTAACCGACATGCTAGCTCGTCGGCCCGTCCCTACCTAGGTTACTTTCCGGCACTCCGCCATTTACCTCCACCGGCACCTGAAGGGACTAGTGTATCTACTGGGGGATCGTTCAGTACAACTGGTCATGATCGGGATTCTCACCGGCGCGTCTTCTATCCACCGCGGCGTCATGTTGACGAGAGCGATATTTGTCCCATATGCAGCGACGAACTTCCACCACTGGGTGAGAATGGTAACGAGGATGACCGGGAAGCACACATCCGTGAGTGCATCGAGAGCCATGGCCGTGGCACGCGGTCGGCGTCTCGAGGAGGAAGTCCAGTAGCTGCGTCTCCTGTTCCAGTTCGCATGCTTGCATTCACTGCTACGGAGAAGGATTGTCTAGGACAGGATGGCGCCGTGCAAGAATGCACGATCTGTATGGAAGACTACGAGGTCGGTCAGCCGCTGGTACGCCTGGAGTGTCTATGCAAGTTTCACAAGAGGTGCATTGTAGAATGGTTTGAGCGCAAGAAGGAGTGCCCTGTGCACAAGGTGGCCTGAAGATTCGGCAAGTATGCCACTCATCCTACCTCCACACGACTTTCCCATGTTACGAATTGCAGTCCCGTACCTTTTTGGGCTCGATGCTCTCTGGTATAGCATTGATAACGGTTATCTTACGATTTTTGATACTCAGCAGCATGGCTATCTGGTGGATAATGTCGTTTTCATTTCATAGAGCTAGCGTTTATTATGTTAAATGTCTGGTTTGGCTTTTGCTTTCATTGTTTCTTGTTGAAATTGGATGATCAGACGGTGGCGTTCATGGTTCTGCGGAGTCTTTGTCGAGTTTCACTCCTCTCATATATCCCTATCAAGTATTTGCTAGAATATGGATTCATTTTTGGATGATTAGCCGCCAGCTTCCCTTCAAAAATTGGAGCACTCAATACGTATGAAATATTGAGAATTAAAATAGCAGATAAGCTGGTTTATGGAAGATACATAGATGGTCTTGAACAAGCGAGTACATAGAAGGTGGAAGAGGCGAAGGTAACTTAGTATGAGTCCCGAATCGTGACAAATCAACTTCGGATTACCTTGGGCAGACCTGCTCCATCCAACGACCGTCAAACTAACGTCCTACAACAGGGTTCTTTCCATCAAATAACACTGTCTCCTTTTTGCCAATATATTACCTGCTATAAGCTTGGAGCAAATGCTTAGATTCATACTGCGAAAGGCTGGATCGTGATCTCGATCTCCCGACTAATCCCCACTGATCGGTCATCGGTGGCCCGACTGACCGTTTTTCCGACTGTCTGCAAGGGAGCTCGACTCGACACTCCGATTGCAGCTATTATTTTATCCGATTTAAATCATCCCAGGTAAGCTGAGTCAATCTCTCTTTGCTCAACGTCGACTGGATGACTCTGAATTTGCGCGCATCATCTCCGAGACAACGATGCAGAGCTACCTGCTGACAATGCCACGGGCATCCGCAGAGTCCGCGCTTGCTTGCACTCGCAGCCCCGCAAGCAATGGACATCGATCCGCGTCTACGTATCGGTCGTGACAAGAATGGTCCAGAAGGAGCGAAGACCGGCCACTCATATGTTCCAGCTACTGCATCAAGGCAAGGAGAGAGCACTCCTACTACCGCTCCTTCGACGCATCCTCCCGGCGACTACCCCGACCCTCCGTCGTCCCACTTCTCCCCGAGCGAGCAGGTACACTCCGCGTCCTCCACCTCAGGTAGCCACAACCACTACGCTGCATCGAATACGCAATCGACCTCGCCTCATGGGTATTATCCCAGCGGGCCGGTGGATGGAAGCGCCTCGGCCGACCCTAACGATCCATACGGGGATCTGAAGCGGCCGCGCGCTTGCGAGGCATGCAGACAGCTCAAAGTTCGATGCGAGCCGGACCCGAGCAATCCGAACGGATCGTGCAAACGGTGTGCCAAAGCCGGGAGGTCGTGTGTCGTGACGGCGCCGACTCGCAAGCGTCAGAAGAAGACAGATAGTCGGGTTGCGGAGCTGGAGAGGAAAATCGATGCGTTGACGGCGAGTCTGCAGGCGTCGCAGGGCCAGGACTTACTCCCGCCAACGAGGCCTGCGGTCGAACCGCGGGAGGAACATCAGGGGAGACGGTGGCTTGGAGGCGGACAGACTGCACCGAGTGGACCGACATATTTGAGTCCTCCTGTAGATCTGGCGGGCAGCAAACGGCACTCCAGTGGTGAGGTCAAGGAACCGAGGGATCCCGCGTCTACAGCAGTATACCCTCGCGCGCCTAGCCCCCTCAAGGAGCAAACGAGGGAGAATGCGCCCTCAAGACAATGGCGTGGTCCGTGGTCAAGCTCAGAGTCTGCTTCCAGAGCGGACGCAGGGACTTCCGAGTCTGTCGATATAATTGACCGAGGACTCGTCAGCGTCGCAGTAGCTTCGGAGGCTTTCAATAGATTCGTGACTCATATGGCGCCTCAAATGCCATTTGTGGTTTTCCCTGCCAGCACGACGATGGGCGATGTTCGGAAATCCAAGCCGGTGCTGCTTCACGCTATTATCGCTGTCTCTATCGGCGCCATACAGCCCGATGCTCAACTCGAGTTGCTGGAAGACTTCTACAAGATTGTCGCAGAGCGAATCGTGGTCAAAGGTGAAAAGTCCTTTGACCTGGTGCAGGCTTTGGTAGTCTCCTGCAACTGGTACACTCCACCTGATCATTTTGAGAAGCTCAAATTCTACCAATTGACTCACATGGCCGTCACTCTGGCAATGGATCTGGGGATGAACAGGAAGTTGTTGGTTCGAAACAAGCCTTTACCTATGTTCAAGGAAATGGTTATGAAGAAGCCGCCGTCAATGAATCTTGATTCTCCAGAGACGCGACGGACATGGCTTGGTTGTTATTTCATGGCTGTCCAGTAAGTCTGCCTGTCACGGCGATCATCTTAGTACGCTTGCTGACCTTCTGGCAGAGTTGCTGTTTCTTTAAGGCGTGTCCTGCTCGTCCGATGGCAGCCATATATGGACGAATGCGTGTCGATTCTGGAAAATTCTCCCGATGCATTGCCTTCAGATAAAGCAGTGATACAGTGGGCGAGACTTGCGCACATGACTGAGGATATCAATTTCCAGTTGTCCTCCGATGATACTGTCTATGTGCCCTTCACAGATCCGAAGGTTCAATACACGGTGAAGGTGTTTGAAAAGCAACTGGAACAGTGGAAGAGGGAGACTCCACCGGAAATCTATACTTGTAAGTTGAGTGGCCACGCTGTACCTTAACCACCTTAACTGACCAACGTACAGCTGTCATGAAACAGTCAGAACATATTGTGAATCTCTACATATACGAAAACGCCATGTTGATGGAGACCGGCGACGACCGGAAGAAAACAGGAGAAGAGTATACCAACGCCGCTTATATGCATGCACTAAGCGTCTGTTTGACGTCCATTCATCAAGTGCTAGACACCGTTTGTTCCGTCGATATCAAGGACTTGATCTCCTTACCGACCGTCTGCCTGGCAAGAGTATCATTTGCTGCCGTCTCCCTCATCAAACTATATTCTGTCGTTTCGTTTCCCGGGAGCCAAATAGGACAGGTCATTGATTCATCCAGTCTCAAGGTTGAATACTACCTCAACAAAGTAATTGATCACTACGCCGCAGCAGGAGAGCTTCCTGGGGGCCGAACGCCGGGCAAATTCTCTGTGGTCCTCGCCATGCTTCGGAGTTGGTTCGTCAAGCGCAAAGACCACAACCGAGCACTGAGAGAAGCATTCGGGGGAGGACCGGTCTCTTGTACCACGATGGATCTCTCAGAGCCCCACGAAGGAGACAAGGCCCAATCGGTACGATTCACCCCCGTAACCCTCCTTATCCTTCGACAACTCGCTAAAGGAAGAATAAAACTGACATCTCAAACAGGGTCAAACCCCCCTTCACCTCCTCAGCGAAGTCGCCAACAGCCGCTCCGCTACAGCCCATCCTTCCTCCAACCACCGACCAAGTTACGCCTCCCAGTCCTCCGCAGAACCCATCACCCAGACACCATCCTCCGATTTGACTGCGCAAACCGTCCGGTCTAGCACCGCTACCGACTCAGACCCTTGGACCCAGTACCCGTCCGCCCCCTTTCATCCGCAACAACCCAAGCCCAACAGCAAGCCCAATCACGCCAGTTCTACTCGCCTTTCAACTCGAATTATCAGGACATGTCATCTTACAATGATGGCGGCAATATGATGATGTCCCCGATGAACCAGGGATTCTTCGTACCTGAGTTAGGAATGCATGTTGGGTTCGACTCTGGGAATATATTTGCGCTGGAGCACCTGTTCAACGATGGGCTGTTGAACCTTCCACTACCGGCTGATGTGGGAATGGGGTATTATTGATATTGAGATTTTACAGCGGTTATTCAGACGAAGTAATGGAACAGGATAATAGATCCTGTTCTTGGTTACTGTTTGTTCTACCGTACTGTCGTATATGTATGAAGATCGTTTCGGTTCGTTTATATCTCAGGCCAGCTATATGATATATCCAGGGCATTTTCCTCCTTACTCTTAGCGGCTAGCGTACATGGATCTTCAATGATTCACCTCGCTGCCTTCTGTTTTGCGTACTTCGTGGTAGATGTAATGGTCCGGAACTGGGATGTTTGATTTGTTCAAGAATAAGTGCAGTATGCAGCGTGAACGCGGTGAAGAACTCCCACATAGAAGCCCCACACGGGGAGCGATCTACTTCCCAGAAGAGTTAGGACATGGCCCCACCTAATATGCCGCGATTCTTGTCATCTGATCCTGAAGAGGAAATTATTGCGGCATGGAATGCCGTGCATCGAATCGCCGTTGCGGACGGCTTGCGGTGCATTACCGCATTGCGCGTAGATCATGTGGAGAGAGTCCTTGAAGCCTTGCAAGGCAAGCAAGGGGTTACTCCGAGACTGAAAGAGAGTTTGTAGGATTTAAGATTGTAGGTTGGGCACCAGAAGGGGAGGGCGGGGGACGCTAATTTGGACGCGTAAGTGAAAACTTGCGCGTTCGGCGGTAGATCGAGCGGCCTGCTTATGTCGATCAAGTACTGGCTGGGTATGACGATGTGGACGGGAAACTCCCAGAGACATCTCGTCTCAAGTTGCGGTGAAACCCCAGTCGTGGCTGAGTTTTTGCACCTCGAATGCCCACGGCCAACCGTTTTCTGCCTCTGTTTTGCGAAGGAGAGCAAGGAGGCAATTCTGTGCCAGAGGATCGAGGATCCATGAACCGCCTAGAAAGGAATTAGAGGCTGGTTAGAGCCTGGAAACATTTCCGAACGTTCTCCACTCGGAAGACTTACAGGCACAGAGCGTGTGGCAGGCCATGATGCGTACTGATGGGTCATCGTCGGTAGAGAGGGCAATACCAAAGATAATGCCGAGATTCGTCAGAATATCATCCTGCTGAGTTTCAGCAAATTATGCTTAATTAGGCAACATATTGAACACAGACCTTGATCCTCCTCACGATATGCTCTGGTGGGTTGCCAGCATGCATCGTGTGT